TTATATAGCTGTCGTGTACGGTTATTTGTACTTGATGTTCACCTCCATCACGTCAGTCTTCATGCTGCAATATCAATTCAGCGCCGGCACTGCTGGACTCGCCTTTCTGGGGCTCGGTGTCGGCTCCATGATCGGCGTTGTATTCTTCAGTATTACCTCGGACAAGTACATGAAAAAGAAGGCCGCCGAGGCCGATGCGGCAGCCGACGCAGCCGGCACGGCTCGCGAGGGAATGAAACCCGAGTACAGACTCGTGTCTCTCCCCGCGGGAGCCTTCTTCCTCCCGGCCGGGCTATTCATTTATGGATGGACGGCCGAGTACGGAGTACACTGGATCGTACCTATCCTCGGAACGGCCATCATCGGCGTCGGAAACCTTATCATCTTCATGGCGTTGCAGCTCTACCTCGTCGATTCGTTCACTATTTATGCTGCTTCTGCGCTGGCTGCGAATGCTGTCGTTCGCTCTGTGGCTGGCGCCGTCCTGCCCCTGGCCGGGTTGAAGATGTACGATGACTTGGGGGTGGGTTGGGGAAACAGCGTCCTTGGGTTTATCGCGGCTGCGATGGTGCCTGTGCCCTTCCTGATCATCAAATATGGCGAGTTTCTTCGGAAGAAATATGAGGTGAAGAACTTGTAAACTGAGATGGCGGGGATGTATAGACGGGATGCCGCCTGTAGGTCCGCACTGATGTAGAAGGGTGGCGAGTTCGTCTCGTCATCGCCCCAGACAGTAAAGCAAAACTCAATTGCGTTTGGCAGCTGTGACGTGCGCTGAACTCGTCCGAACAAGCACTTCAGATGACCACCGGAAGCAAATAGAAAAGCGAGTTGGAAGGTATATCTGCTTTATTCATGTGTGTAATTCATACTCGCGTCACAGGCTTCGTGGCCTATCATCGTCTATCACGGTTTAACTAGGTACTTTGGTTCCTCCCATACGCCAACAAATATTTTTTCTCTTCCTCTCATGCATTACAGCAACTCAATTACAACATACCGAGGCCAAGGTGCTCAGGGTCGGCCTTGACGATACGCAGGGTGTTGGTGTTACCCATGCCGCCCTTCCAGCCCTGGACAACGACGACGGTGTCGCCCTTGCGGAGGACGTTGAGCTCGAGGGCGTTCTCGATAGCCCACTTGATGCGGCGATCGACGTCCTCCTGCCAGTTGACCTTGGTGAAGTCGGGCTTGGCCTCGGGGAACAGGAAGGGGTAGACGCCGCGGTACAAGTGGCTGTAGCGGGAGGCGGAGGAGTTTCTTGTGACCATGAAGATGGGGCAGACGGGGCGGTACTTGGAGAGAAGGCGGGCGGAGTCACCAGAGGTGGACAGGACAATGATACCACCGGCGTTGAGGTCGAGGGAAGCTCTGACGGCAGCCATGGCGCAAGACTCGACAACGCTGACGGGGCGCTTGACCAGAGTGCACATTTCCTCGAAGTGGGAAACGTAGGGAATAGTGTTCTCGGCCTTAAGGCAGGCCTCGTGCATCTCGGAGACGGCCTCGTTGGGGTAGCTACCCTTGGCGGTCTCACCAGACAGCATGACACAGTCGGCACCATCGGTGATGGCGTTGCCAACGTCGCTGATCTCGGCGCGAGTAGGACGGGGGTTCTTGATCATGGACTCGAGCATCTGGGTGGCGCAGATGACGGGCTTGCCGGCCCTGTTGCACAGAGCAATCATCTTCTTCTGGGCGGCGAAAACCTCGGCGGCGGGAATCTCGATACCGAGATCACCACGGGCGACCATGACACCGTCGGTCTCCTGGAGAATCTCCAAGAAGTTGTTCAGACCCTGGCGGTTCTCGATCTTGGCAATGATCTGGATGTGCTTGCCGTCCTCGCCGAGAACGTCGCGAATGTCCTTGATGTCCTGACCGCGGCGGATAAATGAGGCGAAAACCATATCGACGTTGTTCTTGACGCCAAATCTGAGATCGTTCTTGTCCTTCTCGGAAAGAGCGGGAAGATCAACATCGGTGTTGGGCAGGTTGACACCCTTCTTGGAGGAGATGAAGCCGTTGTTGCGGGCGCGGACCTCAACGGTCTTGTCGTCCTTGACCCTGATGACGTCAAAGGCCAGGACACCGTCGTCGACGTAGATGATGCGGCCGGGCTCGATGACCTTGGTGATGTTCTTGTAGTCGACGTACCTGGCGGAGAGTCGTCAGCGGGGAGCACTATTGGGGGAGAATACTTGTGGGGGAGGTTACATGTTCTCGGTATCGCAAGCAGTGGCGTACTGCTCGTCGGTGGTGAAGTTCATGACCTTTCCGGCAGAGATGGGGATATCCTCATCGTTCTTGGTGTTACCGGTGCGGATCTCGGGGCCCTTGGTGTCGAGGGCAATGGCGACCTGACGGCCAGGCTGGGCCTTGTCGGCGGCGCGGGCATTGTCGATGACGGACTGGTGGTACTCGTAGCTGCCGTGCTGTTGGGGGTTTCCATGTCAGCGAATTCCGGCAAGGCGAGCAGGGAGGCGGGAGACTCGGCTTACAGAGAAGTTCATGCGCACGACGTTGAGACCAGCCTTGCGCAGGCCGTTGATGGCATCAACGGAGTTGGTCTTGGGGCCAATTGTGCAGATGATGGAGGAGCGGCGGTAGTTCCTCTCGGGCTGGAAAGCGGTGTCGAGGCTGGACAGCCAGGCGATCTTGCCGCCGACATCGAGGTGCTCCTGAGCAGTAGCCATTGTGAAGTTTCTGGCGAAGTGGCCAGGAGGATAGATATCGTAGTTGGAGATGAAGCTGGCGAGGAGGAGTCTGCGACAGCTGTTAAATCCTGCTATGTAGCGGAGAAGGTAAGGTAGTCTGGGGAGACGGAAGCTGTAGAGAAAAGATGGAGGAGTGGGAGAAGTGAGAGATTAAAAAAAAAGTTGGAGGCTGATGGATGGGTGAGACCCTAAAATGCAAGATTTATGCAGACAGGGAGCCTCAACCAAGGGATTTGTTGGAGGACGGGGGGAGACACCGCAGAGACAATGAACGTCAAGGCAGGGCAGGCAGGCAGAAGACGGGAAGATACCTTAGTACGAGATGCAGAACAAGACAAGACAACACGAGGTAGGAGGAAGGCAAATAATTTGCTGCAGCAGTCGCAGATCGATTGAAGCTGAGGAAGGGGAGCAGTGATGGGCGTCGGCGTTTTACCGGCGGTAGGTGCCAACCTATGCTGCCACGGCGTTGAACTGAGGGGCAGTTTGCGTTTTGCCCTCTCCAGTCAGGTCTCCTCTCACCCCAAAATCAGTCCAGTCCAACGACATGGACCACGACGCGGACGTGGAGGGGCACAGCACCGGGGGGTAAGAGACCCACCAACATGAGGTGCCTCCAGCTCACAGCTGTGACAGCACCCTCGTCCCTTCCTCACCTCACCTTTCCCTGGGTGCTCAAAGGGGGGTCCTTGCTTCCCTGCTAAGGTGCTGGAATGGAAGATGCGTTGGAAGGTACGGAGGGGGTATGTGCACTTGCACCTTCCCGCCTCTTACGGTCTCATACGTCTTCTTTTTTCGTTTTTTTTTCTTTCCCTGGTTCTCCTTCCTGGTACCTCACACCGGCGCAAATCCGGCAGTACACGTAAATAGAAATGCCCAGCCGGCACAGGGTGATGCGACATCCAAGGTGATGGTGGGCTGAGGCCAGGCCAGCGAGACACCCAGATCAAATTGGAGAGAATGCCACCAAAAAAAAAAAAAGGACCAGAAACACAGACAGAACGAGAGACAGAGACAGAAACACAACGGGTAGGGATTCCGTTCCACTTACTTTAGCCAAGCTGCTGTTTCTCGTCAGAGCGGTATGTGGAAGAAAATAGAGAAAAAAATTTGAGATGGAAGGAGATCGAGGAAGAAGAGATTGCAAGAGAGAAACCCCGCGGCAACAATAATATGATGGCACCTTACCTAGTGATACCGGCGGAGATGGCGGGATGGGGATAGGTGAGGTCGGGTAAGGTAGTGAGGGATTTCAATGGCATTGTTTAGTTTCGGCCTTTTTTTCGTTTTTTTTTCCCTTCTCCCCTTCTGTCATCTTCTTCCCTTCATCAACGTCCCTCCCTCGCCGCCGGGCTTCTCTGCTCATTCTTCTGCACCAGTGTCCATGGAGCTTCGACTCCGTTTCTCTGGATTCCTGGGCTGCACTCAAAACACTCAACAAACCAGAGCTCATGCTTTTGACACACAGCTCTTTTTATCGGCAGCGGAAGCCCGACCCCTCCAACTCCAATGGAACCTATCTTAGCCCCTCCATAAAACTGTGAACCCCCCACCAGCTAAAAAAAGGGAAAGCGTTGGTGGGGAGGTCCCCTGGTCCACTTGGGGTGCTGGGTTCTTCATGTCCTCACCAAAACGCAATTGGCTGCTGTCATCAAGACTCAAGAAGCCCCATCACGTCCGTCCACTGCCCACTTGGCCTGGACACTGGACTGCCCGGACCGCGGAGGAGGACAAGTCCTCACTGCTTCCAAGGACCGACTCAACCCCGAATCGTCCAATCCGGTAAATCGTGACGCGAATCAAACTGTCCCGATAACTTGCCCGAGTCGCATCCCGCCTCTCTTATCAGTGGCCGCAGGGCCGAAGGAGTCCGTTGAGAGTGAACTAGGGAAAGACGCTTGGGCAGCTGCTCTGACCGCATATGTAATAAAGCGAGCGGCTTGAATAATCGGGATCACACATCCCTCGGTGCCCACTTGAAGCTTGATGCATCCACCACGTGACTTTGGAGCTTGGGTTCCACTGAAACACGAAGCTCTGTCCATATCGGTACGTACCTTACCTGAGGTACATCATCTGCTCGGAGAGGTTCCTGTCCCAAAGTCACTCGCTCCCGTCACGTGATGTCTCCGCAGCGCCCAGCAGGCACCTCAGGACACCATTGGATGTCACTGGACATGGCTGACCCACAGCCGGCGGCGACGGCCCGGAAACAGCCTGAGGCCCGCCTGCTGTAGTGCACGCACTTCCTGTCAGGCACCGCACTTGCTGCACCATCCACCCGACTGGACCTCAGTCACCAGCCACCAGCCTTTCGTGGGGGCTCACCTCAGGTGTCCAAACCTGGAAGTGGCCCACCCGAGTGTCAGTGTGTCCGGGTGAGGCGAGCCTTGTCCCATGACAAACACCCTTTCCGCCGTATTTGTCTCCAAATCCGGCTGACGATACCGCCTCTTCGACACCGCCAGACTTCCAGATCTCAAAGAAACAATTCGCCCAACAGACAACCACCACAAAAAGAAACACGATCCAGCAAACCTTTTTGAAACCTGCAACATGGTTGGTAGCCCCCGTTATCCCCCGTCCAGTCGTTGCGAGCTGCCCGCGTGCTCGCTCGCTGGATAGCTTTCGACTTGCTTGCGCAGTCTTAACCTCCATCTAGCTCCTCAACTTGCTGACTCTGGGGCTGTGGTCGAAGATTGGGCGTTTGACTCATTACGCATTCGATGCGGTTCTCTGTTGGTTTCCCCCTGCTGTCTATCGCCTCGTATCGGGGACGCATCCGCTGACTTTGTTCGCTCCAGTGTCCGCCTTTCTCGCCGGCATGAAGCGCTCGACCGGCCTGACGTGAGTTCCGATTCGATTCTGATGAGATATACGCACAAACTGCGTCCTGCGTGGATGCATGGCAGCTGACATGTGCCCATTCTGGGAATCGTCAGACCCAGTTTCAAGACTGACAGAGCCGCGGGCGAGAACAAGGACGTTTCGAAGTGGATCGACAAGTATCTCGGCGTCGGCGAGTGGGTGATGGATCAGTCGGTCGCCATCGCCGGCTCCAGCGGCTGGTTCGAGCGTACACGGTAAACCGGCGGTGACGGCTGTTCCCTCCCTTTTTCACGAATTCGGACGGCGTGACGATTTTCAACGACTCTTTTACGCTCCTCGTCTGCTCGGTCATGCTTCTGCAAATATCGGTGCTGGAATGCTCGGCGACGTCTGTGGAGGATTGGGATTCCGTTCGGCGAAGATCGGGTTAGGTCGAGGCTTGGCCCGCTGCAGGATATTCGGGTTGGAGTCATCGTTTCCCGGCCAACTCTCCATTCTGTGGGCGCTTTAGGTGACGCTGGAATCGTGCTGCTGTGGGCATAGGACGGCGGCGGTCGGAACGGGCCAGGCGGATTTGTCGTCGCCGAGCTCTTCTTTATATAAAAGCCTCTTGCTGCTGGCGCATGCCACCCCGTGTATCCTTACAACCGGACATTTAGACCCCACTTTCGGGATCGTCCTGTCGCAAGACACAGATATAGCCGAGGTTACCGACCAATCCAGTGCGCCACTATTGCTGTGCGCCTTGTACGTACCGTGACTTTTGCTGCTTATTGCCTCGTGACGGGGAACACATGGGGAAGGGAAAAGACGAACTGTGGGCTTGATGCAAATCGATTCCTATGCATTCCGATAAACGCCGTCGACACTGACTACTCGTGGGGTATCCAACCTACTCTGCCCTAATCCCATCCAATACGACAAAGAGTAATACAAACTATTCAATGCACCGATCGTTAGGGGTCCTCCCCGCAGCGCCATAACCCCTGCCCAGCCCAGATTCAGTCCAGCCAAAAAGAACCTCACCTAGTTCCCCGATCCAAGCCCACTTGCATCGTTCAGTCAAGGGTACTGCTTTCATTACTATGCTCCGCCAAGAACTCTGGTGGTACATCGTTGTCGCTGTCTCGTCTGGTAGAAGCCTGAAGAGGCTCGGCGCGGGCATGCAAATCATCATGCTCCTCGAGGTGCGACACGAGCAGGTCTGGCGGAACTTCGTTGTCACTCTCATCATTGTGACTCTCGACCGAGCTGGCGTCGACAACATCTCTCTGTACCGTCTCCTCGTGGCCGTCACCGTCAGCCCATGGCTCCTGCACGTCGTCGACGTCTGACTTGGGCTGGGGCAGACTGCTTCGGAGCAAGCGCTCTGCTTCTCTAAAAGCCTCGAGCTCGGCACCAATGGAGCAGATCAGGAGGTTCCAGCTATTCTTGTTCGCGGTGTGCAAGTGCTCTTCGAGCTCCAGGATGACTTTACCCATTCTTGGAAGTATCGCTTCGGTGGCTTCTTGCATCGTCCGCGGGGTTTGCTTGCCCTTGACCGCGCCAATACTCAGTGCTTTCCGCAGTTCTGCTTCACAGGTGGTGACGACGTCGATTGTCTCCTGCCACAACGCCGTGCCTTGATCGAGCGCCTCGCGGTCCTTATCGACCTGCGCTTTTCGCTTCTGCAGGAAATCCGCCTCACTTTCCCACCAGTCTCTCGCCATGCTCAGGGTGCGTCGCGCCGGGATCATGCGGAAGAATTCGGTGCCTCCGGGCAAGTCTCCTGCGCCGTTTGCGGTTGAAGGCTCGGTACGTGACACAACGTCAACTACATCAGGGTCCAGGGGCTCGATTGGGGGTCGGTGCAGCAGAGAAGTGACCTCGCCCTCGACTTCCTTCAGCGCGCCTCTGTATCCGCTCAAACCCGCCTCGCGGCGATTTCGAACGTCCGTCATCTTGCGTTCCAGCCATCGATGACGATTCCTCATCCCCACGAGCTTCTCCTCCAATTCGCGGATCTCTTGACCCAGCGCATCGTGCTGCTCACCGAGCCCCCGGAGTTCTTTCGCTAGTGGCTCTTCTTCGTCGTCTGCCAAGCTGTTCAGCTCTGCGGAAATGTCTTCCCTGCGCTTGTCTAGCTTGTCCAAGTATGAGAGAGCCTTCCTGCGCTGTGAGAGAGCCGACTCGATGTAGGCGTTTTCTTCCGTTTTCAAGTCGGTCAAAGCGGCCAACGAATGTCGCAATCCGTTCCGCGCGGCGTGGAGACCTTGCTTACTGGAAGCCACGGGCTGTCGAACAGGTATGATGTCGCCGCGAGCAGTCGCACGCACTGGCGGATCCAGTGAAGCCATCATGCGTGATCTGGACGAGGCTGTAGAGTAAAAGGTGCCCGTCGGTGTGCTACTCCCCGAATCGCTCCACGTATTATCAGCATCTGCGGCGGAGGCATCGAGAGCCTCACTACTGGGCGCGAGACCTGTGGCTTGCATGTCGAGTAGACTCTGGATTTCCTTATGGAGAGCGCGCTCCCTATGTTGTAGATTCCGCCATACCGAGTCCACGTGGGATGAGACGCTCGAGCGGCGTGAGCCCTGGTCAAACAAAACACTTCCAAATCTAACCCTGCTGGACATCGCGCCCGTCTCATGACCGTCGCGCCCCGATGTTGATCCTTCTCGGGAGCCTCGCCTTCCCGGCTGGACCAGTATAGAGGCGGTTATAGGGGGAGGCGGACCGGAAAACATGGCCTTCGGCTTGGGTTTGAGCTTAGACACGGAGCCGGCTGGGCTCATTGGGTCGTCGAAATGGGCATCTTCCTCCCACGGATCAACGGGGGAAGGTGAACGTCTACTAGACATGGTTATGGGTGTTCGCGGCGACGCTGGCAGTAGAGCTTCATCGGGTCTCGGAGAGAGTTCGTCGAGAGGGTAGTCGTTCGCGCGTCGACGGTGGGATGTGTGAATCGGGAGGATGGGTGACTTGTTTCGACTGAGCGAGAGTCGGTCTAGAAAACTGGGAGAGTTTGGGGCCATCAAGCCACATTGATGTTGTGATCAAAACCGTCGTGGCAGTTGGGAAATATTCGGTAAGTTGTCTGGAAGGATGACGTGGTAGTTTTGACGCCAAAGTGCTTCTTTCTGAATGGGTAAGGAGTAAGGAGAGAAGCTGGGAAAAGCAAGCTCGGTATTGCTGTGGATACTTGATGTGTCCAAATGCGAAGAGATGCTAGTTACGACTGGAACGTACGGCACGAGACGACGCCGGCAAAATGTGATATGAAGAGACGTGCAACCTTACCTAGACATGGCAGCTCACGAGCTACGAGCATGTGCCACAGTCGGCGCGGTGCGGTACTTAATCGCTGACCTCCCTCCCGGTCGGGCTGTTCCAGCCTGCACTTCAGCAGACGTCACTGACCAGGAGGTCTTATCGCTGATCCAAAGCGATAAGGCGATAATGAGTCTAAGGTAGGTGCTACCATTACAAGCTTGCTTAATTACTAAGAGAGCAGTATTTACCTAAAAGCCTTATGATTATATGATGAACGAGACGTATTCAGTACGTGATTCTGGCATATCTAATTGTCGAATACCCAATAATTACCTACTTACCTAAGGTAGGTAAGGTATTCATTCAGCCCAATAAGCGCTGGCTGCCAACACCAGGTCCCCATTTTGTTTGGTTTCCAAGGGCACACCAACGGCTCCGGACTTCATCTGCACCACTGACAATGGGTCCAGAGCCAAGTCCAGAATGGGGATGGACATCGATGTCACGCCTACAGAAAGCACATATTCCTTGTTTCCATGTGTTCTGGAAGTTTTTTCTCTTCTTCCTCGGTTGGATGCTGTTCAGAAGCTGTCTCGTCTGGAGTTGAAGGGAGCACAGAGTCAGTAAGACATCTAGCGCACATATTCAAACATAACTGGGAAGTATAGCCTTCCAGGTTGTTAGACAGAGATCGGGAGACGGGAGGCCTTGTGAGAACCCACGCGGCCTCCCAAACGATGGACAAGAACGCGCATCCCTATCTCCATCCCCCGCCAATGTTCCCCGTCTCCGTCTCCGTCCACGTCCCCGTCTCTCCGTCTGCGTCCGCGTTTAGGACGTCGTCACGTAGGTCTCCGTTCCTGTTGGTTGTCACGTTCCGCGGATCTCGTCCAGGCTCCATCGTGTTGCTGCGCACCCATTAGTCAGAGTGATGCTGTAGAACAGAGCCATTTTTTTCGTGCTGGTGACGACGCGGAGCGCGCGGGCGAAGAAGGCCAAGACACAGTCTGTCCATCCGCCCATCCATCTATCTACCCAAGCAGACAGCAAACAGCAGACAGACAGATCATCATTATCGTCATCAGTAGCCTCTGTTGCTCTCGTTGCTCTAGAGTGATACTCGGGCTCTATTCGACCAGTAGCAGGTGGTATATGTGACATCAGATCAGGGCCGTCGCCGTCGCCGTCGCCGTCTCCGTCTGTCCGGTGTTCCCTCGCCTCATGTCTTGTACCTGACCCTGACCCTGACTTACTCGAACGGCTGCTGGTGTTTTGCTCTGTCCTGCTCTGCTCTGCTTCTGGCCGTGCCGTGCCATCCCGACCTTGTTAGACTTGGACAGCACCTCAGACTTCCGTTCTTTTCTGTTTCGGTTTACCTTTCTCTCCTCCGGCACATTTACTAGTACCCATCATACCCCGCGCCCGTGTTTACCGACTTACCTACCTACCTACCTACCTAATATGCATTTCCTGGGCCATCGTCGGTCGGCGTCGCAGCAGAGCGTCGGTGATGAGGAGAAACAGCAACCAGCACAAAGTTCCAACAAGCGACACTCACATCGACTCAGCGCGACTTCGGCTCTCTGGCAAGCGGCGCAGGCTTTGGGTTCCATTGGAGCGCCTGCGAGTGCGAGTGCCAGTGCCGGTGCCAGTGCCAGTGCCAATGCCGCCGAAGCCAACGACAATTGGAACCTGACGCTGGATGCTACAGCGTCACACTCAGCCACCGATTCCTTTTCTCGCCCACCGCTGCCCAATCCGGTGCCCTCGTCTGGTTCAGGCACAAGCTTGGGCACAGGCTACAATCCGTACGGCTACAGAGACTCCAGCAGGTCACCACAACCGCAGCAGCGCCACTACCAACACCAACAACAGACTCCTTCCATATCAATCTCCTCCTCTCCAACCTCGTCTTCTGCCCAATTCCACGTCGCCCAAAGAGCCGCACCAGCGACCGCGACTGCGACCGCGACTTCGCCTCCGCCTGCGATCTCGACGACCGGGCCCCCCACGCCCAAGAGACACGCCGTCGCCAATTTCTACTACGAAGACGACGCCGAACATCTCAATTACCAGGACCGCGGCGGTCTCAACATCGTCACCCCTCCTACAGCTGCCGCTTCCGCTTCCGCTGCCGACTCCGCTTCCTCCCGCTCCCTCCACGTCCAACCTCATCATTCTCACTCCCACACCTACTCGCACACTATCTCGCATTCGCCGTCTTCTTCATCCTACTCCTCCTACTCCCCCCAACGCAGTCATTCTCGCTCCCAATCCTATCAGCAGCAGCAGCAGCAGCAGCAGCAGCAGCGTGCTTCCGTCCCCGCCGCGCTGCTTCCGGTCCATGGCCAGCAGCAAAACCACCACCACTATTATCTCGACTCGGCCTCTTCGCTACCCGCCCGCTCCACTGCGACTGAGACATCAGGGCCGCCGGGCCTTTCCCCCTCCGTCGACCTCTCCTCGTCCTCGTACGCGCTCTCGTTAGACGCCGCGGCCATGAACCAGCAACCGCAGCCTCCACAACAACAGCAGCAGCCGCAGCCGCAATCGCAGCAGCAATCCCCTGCTCAGCAGCAGTTCTCCCCTCAAGCTGCCCCGCGTCGAACAGCCACCTACGGCTCCCAGCACGACGAACTGCACATGCCTGCTGGCATGATCCAGCACACCCAGCTGTCACCCCGCGAATATTCGTCCTCTGCTGCCCCTGCCGCCCCCCAGATCAAGCTGGACCAGGCCTCTCCGAACGCCCCTCAGTTCCAGAATACTTCGTCGGTGCCCAACGTCCTGCAGCCCGGCGGACCAGGTGGTCGTCCCCCCGCCATCGCCGCAAACACGGCCCCGACGCTGTCCACCATGCAGTCTTCCATGCCTCAGCCGTCCCAGGACTACCAGACCCCTTCGAAGCCCAGCTTGAACATGTCTCACAGCTACTCCCGCTCCTCCCCCGCCGCCGGCTACGAAGGCGCCGCGACTTTTGCGCCCTACACCCCCACGACCCCGAGCGGATCCTCCTCTCAATTCATGTCGCCGCCAGATCAAAAGTACAATGCTCCCGGCTCTCAGCGAAACATCTCCAACACTCCCCTAGGCCTCGCCGATATTCGCCCTCGCGCCGACTCCGGCATGTCAGATGGCGTGCCGGGCAGCGCCGCCTACGACCTCGCCAATGCCCAGCCTGGCACGAGTAATTACCTTGCCCCGTGGGCTCTCTACGCCTTTGACTGGTGCAAGTGGCCTCCCCAGGGCAACGGGGCAGGCAAGCTCGCTGTTGGAAGCTACCTGGAGGACGGTCACAATTTTGTACGAGCCCGCTCCATGACAGCATTTCCAGCATCACACACTGACTCTTGCCTTCCAGATTCAAATTCTCGATACCCAGATGGTGCCGACCCCCAACGATGTTTATCAGCCCGGGACGCCCAAGTTCAATCTCGAATTCTCAAAGGTCGCCGAAGCTACACATTCATACCCCGTAACTCGTCTGCTCTGGGAACCACCCTCTTCGCAGAAGCAGTCGACCGACCTTCTCGCAACATCAGGAGATCACCTCCGCCTGTGGTCTCTGCCCTCGGAGAGCCCCGTCTCGCAGAGCAACTCGATCAACCGACAGGGTAGGGATCCTGGCGTCACAAAGCTGACACCCCTGGCCCTGCTGTCCAACTCAAAGACGCCCGATCATACAGCGCCGCTTACCTCTCTGGATTGGAACACCGTTTCTCCCAGTCTGATCATCACATCCAGTATAGATACCACCTGCACGATTTGGGATATTCCATCCTTGACGGCAAAGACGCAATTGATCGCCCACGACAAGGAGGTGTACGACGTGCGCTTTTGCGCCAACAGCGTGGACGTTTTCGTAAGCTGCGGGCAGGATGGTAGCGTCCGCATGTTCGACTTGCGCAGTCTCGAACACAGCACTATTATTTACGAGCCCACAGGCAAGGATGAAAGAGGTTGGTTCTCTTTCCGCCGGGGCCTCGGCTTGAGGACGTCTTCGCTAACTCGGAACAGTTGACCCCAACGGTGGGCGAATCAGCCCCACGCTCGCGCAGCAGACCATGTCCAACCCTCCCCCTCTCCTGAGATTAGCGACGTCGCCTCACGACACCCACTTGCTGGCCACCTTTGCGCAAGACTCTAACGTCATCCGCATACTTGACGTGCGGCATCCGGGCCAAGCGCTGTTGGAACTTCGGGGCCACGGTGGTGCGCTCAACAGCATCGAGTGGTCACCATCGAAACGCGGCGTACTGGCTTCCGGAGGAGACGACTGCCAAGTTCTGCTGTGGGACGTTTACAACAACAACCACGCGCTCGGTGGAGGTCCCTCCGCCAACGGCGCTGGCCAGCCCGACAGCACACGAAGCCCATTCGCCAGTTGGCAATGCGACTACGAGGTCGGAAACCTTGCATGGGTCCCGCATCTCTCCAGCGATCAAGGAGAGTGGCTGGGTGTGAGTGCTGGCAGGGGCCTCTGGGGTGTTAAGACATGCGGGCGGTCTGTCTGAAGGAGGTGATGTCCAAGAGCGGCAGTCAATCCTCGCCGCCTTGCTACCCTGTTCATAGATCTGGCTGGTCACTTGTGGTAAATGCATCGCGAAGCCTGGCGTTTAGGATTGGGACCTGAGCCGGCTATTTGGGGGGGAACACTGTCTGTGAGTCAAAAGTCGTACTGATGGATTCCTTGGAATATTGTTGGTGGCGGGTCACATGCACTGCAGTTCAGTAGGGCTCCCCGGTTGGTAGTAAGGAACAAAATCACGGGATGGGGGATGGTTATATACCGGCGGGCACAGTAGGTGGAGAGGTGGTTTCGAAATGTTATAATCATCGTGCGGTGTTCGTTTTGCACCACCACAACGTCAAGACTCAGAGCCTCGCCTTTGAAGGGTTCGTCAGGGTGCCGTCTAAGGTGATGACTGCTTTGCCCCAGATCTTGCGATCGACCATGTCTTTCAGAGCTCGCGGTACGCTCTCGAGCCCTCGGTAGTGAGACTCGTACACCACGGGCATGATCTTGCCAGTTTCTATCAGCGGCTGGAGTCCATCCCAGATGGCCATCTGCTCTTCTGGGTATCGCCGAGAACTTTCGCCGTACCGCTGCAATGACGGGTGTTAGGTAGCCACGGGTGGATATGGGGACCAAGTGCGAAACGGAATGAGACTCACGTAACCAATCAGCGAGACTTGCTTGAGCAGGACTCGGTTCATCGCTATGCGCTCCATCCCGTCTCGAATACCGGCAAATCCCACGACCAAGACCTTGCCCCTGTGAGCAATGCATTTCAAGCTGAGATCGACGAGGCCAACGGGATCAAAGACGACATCAACGCCCTTCCCGCCGGTAAGCTCCAGCACACGCTCCCACCATGACGATTCCTCGGAGTAGTCGAGACAAGTAGCAGCACCAAATCTGGTGGCCACGGCGCATTTCTCGGAAGACCCGGCCGTCCCAATGACCCGGCACCCCAAAGCTGCGGCAATCTGAACTGCCATGATGCCCAGGCCGCCAGCGGCCGCATGCACGAGGACCGTCTTACCGGTCTGGATGTCAGCTTGAAGGAGTGCGGCGTAGGAGACCGGGAGCGTGGCTGCTATACCGGCAGCTTCGACGAAGTCCCATGTTGTCGGGATACGGTGCAAAGGGGTTGATGCTGGAAGAGATATGATCTCGCTGTATGAGCCGGTATACCCGCCAAATACTCTATCTCCTGGACGGAAATCCGAACTCGGTGGTGCTGAGATTACGACGCCCGCGAACTCGAGTCCTAGGGTGAAGGGCGGGAGAACCAAGGAGCGATTGTTCTGGTGCTTGCCCTTGGCCTATTTCTTCTTAGTCCAAACTATACAGAAAGTCGATGGTGAAGTCGAATGCAAACCGACATACGTATAGTGTGTCGACGTAGTTGACGCCGGCGGCCTTCACGTGAACCAGTATTTCATTAGAGTGAGGAATAGGTGCGTCTACCTCGGAGACTTTAACCTCGTCAAAGTCCTGGTTTATTGTCATTGAGTCGAGCGCCTGCAAAGGTTGCGTGGAACACTGACGGTAACGAAATCGTTGATCACTACGGCCTTCATTTTATTCTTGGACGATGTGGCTGCCCGGGTTGTGAAATGCAAGATAGGTATGGTACCCAGCAATGGATGCTTGAAAAGAGTCGGGCTACTCGAGCTGCTTCACACAAAGGTTTTGCAATTACAAGGGGCGAGGCAGACTGAGAGACACCCTCCAAATAAAAGATCATCTCGTGCCTTGAGGGGAATTGTTGACCTATTTAAAAGGCCGAGGCAGTGGCCGGCTACGAGTTGCTGGACTAACAATAAGTTGGAGTAAATAGCCTCAACCATCAGCGAGTCGAGATAGGTAGGTTCTTAGGAGGTCTGAGCGGGCTTACCTAAGATACATAGGCACTAGTGGAACTTCCTCAGTGGCCTGCCTCAGGTGTCAGTGGCGCTAAGCCTCATCCAGACGGGGACCTGGCCTCCTTCGCGTCAAGGTAACCTTGGCTGAGCTTTCCTGTCTTGAAGTTGTCTTTATTCCTTCTTACAAAAGCCCTCGTCTTCCACGTTCTCATCGGCCAGACGTCTGGTCAACCGCTCCTTCCGACGTCCCCAAATAACTATTTAATCCAGTCGAAGCCCACCTACGAGCTCTCTGCTACTTGCCTTTCTTCTCCCCTAAAGTCCTGTTCGCAGGCTCAAACCCAAGTTTGCCTCGCCTCGCCTCACCATCTAAAACAACATACAACAACGTTAGCCCTTGCCAATTGCCTCAAAAATGGCTTCGAACGACCCCAACAGATACGACGACTCAGAAGACGAGGACGACTTCAACCCTGCGCCTGCCGACCTCTCTGACGAGGAACCCGACCATGACACCAGTGACAGGCACGCACCGAGCGATGCGCGCGAAAGCAGCCCTGCTGCTGACGACGACGATGCCCCCGTAGCCTCCAAACCTCGACCCGTTGACGATGATGAAGATGAAGAGCAAGATGAAGAGGAAGGTGGCGCAAACGATGATGATGAGGAGGAAGATGAGGATGAGGAAGACGAGGATGACGTCCAACAGGTTAGCCTCTCCCATTGCCTGCGCTGACTACCTCGGGTTCAATGAGGGCTGCTGCAGGCAACCGCTCAGTCCAAACTCCCCTGTGTTGGTTCCTTCATGGGGATATTATTAACGCCTCGTCAGGGACATCGTCGCAAGCGTCGCAGGGACCGTCGCGCGGTCTTTTTCGACATCGAAGCCGAGGTCGAAGACGAAGAAGACGGTGAGGATGAGGAGAAAGACGGCGAGGAAATAGAGGACTTCATCGACAATGCTCATCCCGACGATATCGCCGAAAGCGGAGGCCTCGATGACGATAGACGACACCGCGAGTTGGATCGTCGGCGCGAGATGGAGCAGAGCATGGATGCTGAAAAGCAGGCCGAGATCCTTCGTCAGCGATACGGTAACCGCAGGCCCAACAAGGGCTTCGGTGATTCGGCAGTTGTACCGAAGCGTCTTCTGATGCCTAGTGTTGAGGATCCCACCATCTGGGCCGTCAGATGTAAGGAAGGCAAAGAGCGCGAGGTGGTCTTCTCCATCATGAAGCGCATCGAGGAGAGAATGGGCACCAAGGATGAGCTCGCCATTATTTCTGCCTTCGAGCGTGGCGGTCCGACATCCGTTATGAAGGGCTACATTTACGTGGAGGCGAACAGGTCCACCGACATCATGGTCGCCCTCGATGGCATGTTCAACGTCTACCCGCGGTCCAAGATGATTCTGGTCGATATAAAGGACATGCCGGACCTGCTTCGTGTGACCAAGACGCCCACCCTGGAGCCGGGCGCCTGGGTCAGACTTCGCAAGCCCGCCAAGCACGCCGGCGATCTTGCGCAGGTGATCGACGTCACTGAAAATGGTCTCGAAGCTCGAGTTCGGTTCATCCCCCGTCTCGACTACGGCATGAGAGACGATGCTCTCGCAGCCGTCACATCGGACGGGAAGCGAAAGCGCCCTGTTGGTGTCCCCGGACCACGACCGCCTCAACGTCTCTTCAACGAGACGGAAGCCCGGAAGCGCCACCCAAGGCACATCCAGGGCAACCCGACCACCAAGGTCTGGACCTACATGGGTGATGAGTTCGAGAATGGCTTCCAGGTGAAGGACATCAAGATCCAGCAACTAGTGGTCACAGACGTCAACCCGACACTGGAGGAAGTAACCAGATTCGCCTCTGGTGCCGAGGATGGTACGGAGAATCTTGACCTCAAGGCCCTCGCTGCCAGTCTCAAGGACAGCAACATCAACGTCACATACCTACCTGGCGATGTCATCGAGGTGTACGACGGCGAACAGAAGGGTGTTGTGGGAAAGGCCACCAATGTGCAGGGCGACATTGTTACCATGCAGGTTACCGAGGGAGACCTCGTCGGTCAAGTCATTGAAGTGCCCACCAAGGGTTTAAGAAAGAGGTTCAAGATCGGAGACCACGTCAAGGTCACTAGTGGAAGTCGATTCCGCGACGAGGTCGGTATGGTCGTCAAGATTTCCGAGGATAGGGTCACCTTCTTGACGGATCAAACCAACACCGAGGTCACAGTCTTCAGCAAGGACCTGCGTGAAGCGAGTGATATCGGTGGCCAAGGCTCCCTGGGCCAGTATGAGCTATTCGACCTGGTTCAACTCGACCCGACCACTGTCGGTTGCATCGTTAAGGTCGATCGCGAATCGGTGGTCGTCCTTGACCAGAACGGAGATCCCAGACAGGTCATGCCGTCACAAATCGCCAACAAGCTCCCAAAGCGCAAGATCGCCGTCGCTGCTGACCGAAACGGCTCTGAAATCAGACTGGACGATGTCGTTCGAGAATATGGCGCCCAGCAGCGCCAGGGCAAGATCATCCATATCCACCGAGCCTACATCTTTTTGCACAGCAACAACAACAACGAGAACGCCGGTGTCTTCGTCGCCAAGGCAAACAACGTTACTACCATTGCTGCTAAAGGTGGGCGTGTGCTTTCGGCCGGTCCCAATCTGGATCAGATGAACCCGGCCATGAAACGCAATCCCAGTGCAGCAGAGAACAAAATGGCGCCTCCCAAGACTTTCGGCCGCGATCGTTCCATCAACCAGACTGTCATCATTCGGAAGGGCGGTTACAAGGGTCTACTAGGTATCGTCAAGGATGCTACGGAAACCCACGCTCGTGTCGAGCTGCACACGAAGAGCAAGACCATCACGGTTCCCAAAGACCATCTGAGCTTCAAGGACAAGAACACGGGTGCCAAAATTGACATCAACGGCCGTGGCCCGCGGCCAGGTGGTCCTCCCGGGGGCGGACGTGGCGGAGCTGGTGGAGACTGGCAAGGAGGTCGGACGCCTGTTGCTTCCAGCGGCTCAGAGAGAACCCCTGCATGGGGCTCACGAAGTAAGCAATCAGCTCCTCATACTGAATACAAACATTCACTGACACATCATAGCTCCCGCGCCGACTGGTGGCAGAACTCCTGCCTGGAAGTCCAGCAGCCAAGATTACGGCTCCGGATCGAGAACTCCGGCTTGGGCCGATGGTTCCCGAACTGCTTACGGCGACGGCAACAGAACTGCTTACGGTGGAGGCTCGAGAACGCCTGCGTGGCAATCAGGCGCGAAGACACCCGCGCATGATGCCTTTGGACTTGGGTCCAAGACTCCAGCGTATGGAGGAGATGCTTGGGGTGCGGGATCCAAGACTCCTGCGTACGGAGGATCTGCTCCGACTCCCGGAGCCAGTGGTAATGATTCATGGGGCTACACACCTGGCAATTCTGGCTACGATGCACCGACGCCCGGCGGGAATCTGTTGGGAGCACCGACGCCAGGCGCTCTGAATGCCCCTACTCCCGGTGCCTACTCAGCGCCCACACCCGCTGCAGCCAGTGCCCCAACTCCCGGTGGCGGATGGCAAGGCGGTTGGGCTGCCGACTCAGCGCCCACGCCGGCGGCCGGCGCTCCTACTCCAGCGGCCAGCGGCTTCGCCTCGTCTTCCGGCTACTATGGCGCGCCAACCCCTGCTGCATACGGTGCACCCGAGACGCCGGCTGCAAGCGGGCCTAGATACACTGACGACGATTGAGGTATCGAGCGACACGAGATTGTGTGACGGATGGTGCGGCTGGCCATTGACGGCCGACTTGGCTTTACACTAGCAAAGGGGAGGGAAATCAGACATGTATATTATCCGGCGTTCGCGTAGAAAAGGGGCATTGCGCAAGAAAGTACGCGCAGATACCAAATAACTTTCATCACCTCAAACACGGACTTGGAGTATATCTCTGTGCCAGCACCTTTTGTGTAAATGGGTCATGGACATCTCACAGCACGAATGTGCCGGGACCATATTGCCCACGGTTACGCCATCGAGAGAAGGATAATTGCCGACTCAGTCGGCAAACTTTGGTTCCCTTGCAATACCAAAGAGGCTCTTGAATGGGTGGACGACTTTACCCGCCGGCTACCGGCTGTTGTCCTGTCGGTAGATCATCTTCCATTATCCTGCCTGGCTGGTCCAAGGCCCAGCCTGGCTGTTGGACTTTGAGGTCTGCATGCCACAGCCCATGGAGTTCAGGAGGTATAAGTGCAGCCATTGCTGCATATCTCGGCCTGTTCAAGAAAGAGGGCTCCTGAGAACCGCCAACATACGGTCCAGATTCACGACTCAAACGATATATTTCGAAGTTCATTCAGTCCAACTCCGGCGAGTTCAGACTCAAGTATCAATAGCATGAAGACCTGGTCTGCGATCCTGGCCTTGGCAACTCTTGCCTCGGCTCATTGTGCGGCGTCCCCGTCACATTATGAATGCCACTTTGAGTAACAGCTAACCGGTCAGACGTCTTTCCATCTGTCACTTACAATGGCAAGACCACGGCAGACTGGGAGGTCGTTAGGAAGACGACCAACTACCAGTCCAATGGTCCCGTCACGGACGTCAACAGCCAGCAGATGACGTGCTATCAGCTGGCTCCTGGCAGTGAAGGAGCCAAGGTGCTTGACGTGACGGCTGGGTCTACGATTGGTTTCTAAAAGCTTCTCCTTTGATGCTAAACTTCCGACGGCTAATCGGGATTTCTAGGCTACAATGCAAAGGCATCAGTTTCCCACCCCGGGCCTGTCAACTTTTACATGGCCAAAGCCCCTGCCGGGACCAGTATCACAGATTTTGACGGCTCTGGGAAAGTCTGGTTCAAGATATATAACGATGGCCCGACCGTCGGCTCAAACGGTTTGACATGGCCGACATCAGGTCCGTATCTCTGTGCCATATCGGTCTTGCGTTGGTGCTGAGACATGAACATAGGCAAGACAACACTCGACGTCCAGATCCCCAAGTGCCTTGAGAACGGCGAGTACTTTCTCCGCGTCGAGCACATCGCTCTGCACAGTGCCAGTAGCCCGGGTGGTGCGCAGTTGTACATCTCCTGCGCCCAGCTCCGGGTCAGCGGTGGAACGGGCACGTACAAGCCGAACCTCCTGTCGTTCCCAGGCGCGTATAGCCCCAACGACCCCGGCCTGCTTGTCAATATCTATTACCCGGTGCCTCAGAACTACAAGGCTCCCGGAGGATCTGCGCTTGTTTGTTAGTAAGATTGGCCTTTGGTCAAGAAGTCTCTGAGCTGGATGGTCTGCTGGCGAGGGGCTGCTTGGGATGCGAGGCAAGAGCGGAGCGAAGTAGCTGGAGATCAAGTACATTAACAATATTGGTGCAATATCTTCGCGTATTCAGTACATATTGGTCGAATTCACGCAGTTGTAACTTCCAAAGCTCGTGGGATCTGGCTATTTTCTTTAGCAATGGTTTTCATAATGGAGCAGAATAGCGAGAAACTGGCGACAAGGTTGTTCAAGGCAGACTTTGTTTTGCTGGACCGCGTTGATGATGCATCGTACGTTCGGGGGAGAAAGGTTGTATTCCTCAATCGACTGTCCACATTCACAGTCCGAACCTGGAGCTGAAGAGCATGAGGCGGGGGAGAGGCATGCTTCTCATGTCCAGCCCGGAGTGGGCTGGAACACTCGGCATATCTTATGAGTGTCACAGCTCAGTGTGGTTAGACTCATATCGCCAGCCATCCATTTTCGGCTGAATCCCGCTTTCAACAGCACGATGTAACCATTGCAGCGGTGTCATTGCTTATGTCGAATAAACTTGTGCGGGGAAACTACTCATCTGCTGCAGTTAACTTGGACTCGACTCGTGCCATAGATCGTGACCTGATACATCGGCAAGACGGTGCAGGATAAGACCTCCAATAGAATTCATCAAATTCAAGAACGCCTGGTAGTCAAAATTACGTCTTCGTCCAAGCCTGTAGAGAGGCGTCAGATAAAGACGCAGGGAGTTGGCGCTTGTGCAAGGGTTGCTGGATCATGGTCCATCTTTGCACCTGCTAGCTTGAAAGAGGCCTTCTTACTATGGTGGAAAAATAAAGCCTTGACAAGTATTGCATCCATGTTGCATCGTCATCCCACTTACCGAATGAAACGGCAGCTGAGCAACAGGATAAATAGACAGTCCTGGAAGCCCCCTTCCTCCTTTTCCTCCAGGAGAAAGAATCGGTTCCCTGTGAGGCTGATTGTTCCCCTGCAAGAACACCGCGGCAATGGTTGGAAGCTCTTGTTTGGTCGCTCTCGCAGTGGCGGCGCATGTCGTTGCTGCTGCCACCTTTGCTGTGCCGACGAGGGTGAACACAGGCGGCCTCTCATACGCGCCTCTTGACGCGGCACCCGTAGGCCTTTCGTGAGTATTTGCCCACCCCAAGGTCCACCACTCTGCTAAAGCCACGTCTAGTTTCGAGTTCTTCGCCTTCCCGTCGTACTTCCAAAACGTGACTGCAACGAACCAGTGCTTGTCCAACTTCAGAGCGCTGAGTGGCACTTGGCCACCCATCAGAATTGGCGGAACTACCCAGGACCGGGCATCCTACGACGCGTCAACATCGGCTTATGTAGTGTACACGGTTGCCAATGCTGCCGACGCGCCGTCGACTTTGACGTTCGGGCCGAACTTCATGAAGTTGGCCGCCACATACGCGGGCGACGTGACATTGGGTCTGAACAGAGGCAAGAACAACATCGACAACACCATAGCGGCGGCCAAAGTTGCGGTGCAGGATATGAAGAATCTCTATGCGATTGAGCTTGGAAATGAGCCCGAGTGTAGGATAACGAATGCCGCGGAATGTTGTTCTCAAAGCTGACTGTTTCCAGACTGGTCAGGTGTCCAGCCCATTGCCTCTGGAACTTGGAATCCTGCCGTCGACGCTGCTTCCCAGAATAACTGGGCGATGACGGTTGGCAATGCGATTGGCAAGAAAAACATCATCCAGGCAGGAAATTCGAATTCCCTTCCGCCCACATGGGGTGCCGAAGAGCTGATCGCAAGCGGTAATGCTACCGTCAGGGAGTATGTGAAGACTTATAGTCACCACAACTACCCCGGCGGGACGGTAACCAGTCTGATGTCTCACGCAAACATCGCCAGCAATGTCCATCTGTTCGACAAGGACATTGCCAGTGCCCTAGCAGTGAACAAGCCATACGTCTTTGGAGAGACCAACTCAGGTAAGCCCGCTTCAAGAGAGGGCGTCCATTCACTCTCACTAACGTGGCACAACAGTTTCCGGAGGCGGAGCCGCCAATGTGAGCCCGTCCTTCGGTGCGGCCCTGTGGGTGATGGACTACTCGGTGCGCTTGGCTGCGTCCAACGTTTCCCGTATATATTTCCACCATGGAACCATTGGCAACAACCCGTACAGCTTCTTCGGTCGATACTCGATGGGCAACCCGTACGTTGGCGCATTCACGGCCACGGCTTTCCTAGCTGGTGCAAAACACGTAGCCGCTCTGGATGATGGGAAATCGGCCTTCGCGGCGTATGTCACTTTTGACGCATCAGGGGCGCCCCTGCGTGCGCTACTGTACAACTCCAACTACTTCAGCGGTTCCGGTACGCGCGGTGTCGAGTCGTTTGTTCTCAGCGGGATTTCCGCCAGTAGTGTCCGTTCCAAGCGAGTGACGGCCGCGAGCGCCGAGGCGAGACAGGATCGGGGCGGCAACGCTTACATCGGCGGGCAGTACTTCAACAACGGCACCTGCACTATCGGCGGGGCGGAGACGTTCGAGACGACGGTGGTGTCGAGCGGCCGAGCAACTCTGAGCGTCGGGGCCAGCGAGGCTCTGTTGGTGTATCTCCAGTAAAGGGAGCGTCAGAGGATGAGATCTTGTGGAGGATCTCCAAGGCATTAGCCGCCTCGGCAATGGCAATCGTTTAGGTTATTAGGCCCGCTTTGGTGATGGCCTCTCTCAACTTCAAGAAGCGCTGAATGATGGACTCCGTGCGGTCTTTGAGCATGTCGCATTGCAGGTAGATGACGCGGCATTCCGTGGTTGGGTCTCCAGCAATCGTAGATTGTAGTTTAGGAACGCAACGAGCCAGTGAGGATTGCAGGTCGACCAGGATAGCTGTAATGACGGAAGGTGATGATCCGGGGGAAAGTGTGAAAGATCCAACGCGAAGATCGGGTATATCGAACTGGTGCCTCTCGCCCTCGCCCTCGTGGTGTTCTGAGACGAGAAACTTGCTGAAACAGACTTGGGCGTGAGAGAAAATGAGTTCAGTGATATCGTGTATGCGGTAGTGGCAGGAGACCAGCTGATTCAAAAGAGTAAAATCTATGCGCGATGTTGTTTCGAATGGATCTTGACCAAAGTCGTGCTGAGGCTGGTATGTATGTACGCAGTCTGGAATGGAGCAGTTGGGGACTTTGGTGTGCTCAACGGCGAGTTTGATTGCGTTGGGATACAAGTCGACTAGGTCCTGGGTTTGACTGAGCATTATCTCGAGCGACTGCCTCAGTCCGTACGAGTCTTTAACTTGTAAGCAGAACAGCTCAAGGTGCGGACCTGGAACGTGAAGCTTGGAGACAGGAGGCAGAGCGTTGAATGCTTCATTCAGCTTGGCCATCATGGTGGCTAGCTTGTCGAAGCATTGCGATCTTGGGTCGGAGAGACATTGGGATGTGATCTGCGACGATGAGGTTTCCTCTTGGGCAACAGATAGGTCGATTTGCGAGATGGCGTTGGGGCCCAGAAGGTGGTCGAAAGAGAAGGCGTCCCAGTCTAAAGGAGTAGGAGGTTCGGCAATCAGATGGCCAGGGGTGGTTTGGGGACCGGCGGCGCTGTAGACGCAGGGGACGTGGGCTTTGGAGCAACGAGCGCAAATGGCAGAGCCAGCTTGCTTCGGGCATCGCAGCTTTTGGCCGTGACATCTGTCGCAAGCCTGGCGGGTGCGTCGGGGGAGCGGCATATGGGTGGCGGCGAGGTTAGTTCTTGATGAAGGACTAACTCGCGTTGGTTATTCTCGATAGACGCAAAAGATGAGGGGCGATGGACGACCAAGCCAACAGGGGACTTTGAGGCCGTGGAAGTTGGGGATAGGAAGCTGATATTCACGATGGTGGAAGTGGTGTTGGTATTTGTGAATAGTGAGATGAGAGAAGGTGAACCTCGCACGAAGGCGCCTAGGCGCCTGATGAAGGATAAGGTACCTTACCTTACCTTCCCTAGTAGGGATAGGTACTTTCTTCCTGCCTCCATGGAGAAAGTACCAATCCGTGCCTCACTAAGGCACCTCACAGCACGTACCTTGGGTAAGGTAGATAGGAGGTACCTGAGGTACCTTGGGCCCATCTGATGGAAACACTGAAGTGCCCCGCCTCCACTGACGTGGAGTGTCCTCGGCACAAGTTGCCAGTCGAGAACGTTTGGCACGTGCACTTTGGCCAATCAACTCAATAGTGTCATCGATTTCCCCCACTCTCATTGCAGTAGTCTCCACTTTCACCCGGTAGCGCCCGCTGGACACGCTAGGGCCAATTACCTACACTGTCTGATATCCGTAAGGTGCCCTGCTCCGCCCTGCCTTAGCAAACATCAGAACCCCCTTGTCCGGTTTTTCGTTTGTAACGAATCTCACTCATCAATCGCCCCAAAAACTTCCAAACGACAAGAACGAGATGGAGCTTGAGCACAGACAGTCGCCCTGAGATCGTCTCATTCTTTTTTGCATCGTCCGAACTCTTCTTTGACACATTTGACACGTGCCAACTCTACGTATCTACGTAGTTGTGCACCTCGTCGTCATTGAGACGGATTGGAGAGACCACCTGCAGACGGATGATTTCCTCCCAAACCTGGACCTTCTTTGCTAAGGCACCTTACTTTACCTTAAGGTACCTACGTACGGATACTCGACTCCTTGCATGAGGCACGGGAACTGCCCAGGAACCTGAAAAATCTCGATATCATCCTTCAGCTTCTTCTACGCTACGAATATCCGTACCACAACCTTGGAATCCTTCCCGCCTCCTACTGCCGGGGGGCCTTTGTCGCGTCTAGCCAGCCACAGCTTGCTTTGGCGTCTTTCTTCTTTTTCCAGTTCTGTCCTCCTTTTAAACTTGCGTTGCGGCTTCATCTTCTACTTGTCTCAACCTGAACCCACGTACGCATCTCATTCTCCGTCGACCATCACCAGCAACACGAGATGCTGTCGATGGCGCTGCATGACTCTGACCAACACATTCCATACCGATGCTTGTCCTTGTCCTTGTCCTCGTCTCCATCCTCACATCATGCCCTGCCTTGCCTGGCCATGCGTCCTGTCATGTCGCCTATGATTTACCCGCCCCCCCAACTTCCCGTACGCCCGTTTGGGGTCTGGTCATCAGATTGGCGTCCGCCAACCAACGCCACATGGCTCGAGTCTGCGTGGTTTGCTCGCCAAAGAACCTCCGTCTCTCGCCTCCAGTTCAGCTCACCCTAACTTCCCCATTCCTCCCTAGCTGCTGTCGATCCGTCGCTCGGGAGTTGACGTCGCACCCGTATCAAAGACAATCTTTCTCACACCCATCCGCTTCCAACTCGTCACCCAAAAGCTTGGTCCGAGTCGTGGTCACTACCCCCAGAGCAGAGATAAGCACTCTGTTTGCACTTGCCATGTCCTATTCGGCTCTCTCCTTTCCCCGTCCCATCCTCGTCTCATGATATATTGCCAGTTTGTCCGCTCATCTGCTTCCTTTTTCTTGTCTCTTCGAACCTCTCCGGCCTGGTCCGCATTTCTATTTCCTCCCTACTCTCCCAGCTGCTGTATCACTTTCTCCTTCGTCTTACTCGTGTCACACAGTCCCTTGTCTACCAGGACTCAGCAAGGAAACCCTCCAGTGTAACCTTCATCATGCTGTCGAGGTGACAGACAGTCGACATGGAGCCTACCACAGTTGTCGGCTGCGTGGCTGCCTTGACAGATCTCTTCGCCGAGGGCGCGGGGCATTACACGGCGTGGAAAAGAAAGAGATCACGCCAGAATCACTACAGACGATCAGGCCCCCCTGGCCAGAAGGCCGTCGTCACCTGTGCTCTGAGCACATCCCTCGATGCCGCCGAAACCCAGATCAAGGAGGCGTATGACATTGCCTTCTCCATTATTGGTTCCGACTTCTCCATGGGCGATGGTGTGTCTCAATTTCTTGTGTCTCAATCGATCCTCGCTTACTCTGGTGTTACGCAGGAACATGTCGAGACCTGCTTTGTAACCAGCTCTTCAACCTTCAGAGCCGCGTCTCCCATCTTCGTCGCGCCACCGACGCCTCGTGCTTGACTGCCACTCTCAACATCTCCGACCTCCTCCAAACATCCGAGTCCATCCGCATAGCCTCCGTGAAGGCGTTGTCGGATCTATACTCCCGTGTCGCATCCGGACTCGATGTTCCCAAAGACCTTCCAGTGCCAAAGCCCCGATCGCGGCAAAGTGGTTTGCTATCCCGACGGTCCGGTAGTTTCACCGACCGCAGCCAAGATTCCATCGACGATGACGACGATGGCAGGACGACAACGGTCTTGACCATCCGCACCGATCAACCTCGCTTCCAATCCGAGCCGCCATCGCCGCCACCGACTCCCCCAGACTCGAAACCCACCGCCAGCGATTCAGCTTCTGTTGTCGCCCCGTCTGCTTGGGCGTCCTCCGAAGCAGATGGGAGTGGCGGCACTACGGCTCTTTGCCCGAAAGTCAGCGTCTTCAGCATGTTCTGTCCGGAGGCCATGGTCCTCCAAGTCGACCTCTCCAAGCCCGTCCCAAAAGAGAAAAGGTGCATTTGCGGTTACCGTTGGAAGCCGACCCTACCCGAAAAGCAGGATTTCATCCTTCTCAAGGACGGGTTCAGGATGTCGAGTCGTTTTCTCGCCAAGTCACACTCCGACAAGGACGCTTTCGGCTGCATTCTCTGTGTATCGAGCGGCAAGACGGAGACGTACGACTCGCCGCAGTCGTTATGTGCACACATCAACGCCTCACACACAAAGTGGCAGATGCTCCACGAACGAGACATCTCCTAGATTATCGGTTCGTTGTACGCCGATGAACTTGTCTCAGTCCGACAGCTCCAGCCCGGGAACGAACCCGCGCCGTCCACGACTGGAGCCGGAAGATACTCCAGACGGCACATCAGCCTCCCTTTCTGGCTTTGTAGGAATAAGCTTGGCTTTTCTTGTTTTGGTTCAAGGCGCAATGGAGTCTCGCGTGCGTCCAAGGAGGGTAACCCAATTTCATCAGTAGTCCCGGTTTGAGAAATGTATTGATACCCCCGAATAAGTTTGAAGGGCGGGCGCTGTGGAGAATTGGATATGAAAATCGTAACTGTTTGTTCAACCGATATGTATTCGTCAAATTTTCGTCAAATGTTCGAAACTCCTTTCGTGGTATGTCCCGGCAATGACACACAGCCCAACTTCCTCCTCCAAAGCAGCACGATGTCGAGGCCTCTTTCCAGCATCAGCATGCTGGCTCATCATTGCCCAGCAAATGAGCAGGCCAGTACCGCGGAATCTCGCGTAACATGACGCGAGCATAATGAATGCCACTTGAGGGCAATCTATCACACTATTAGAGTATTCAAGTCGTAGAGCTCCAGGAGCTACCCGCCTGAGGAAATCAGCCGAATGTACGTTGAGCCGACTCTCAAAACTGCCCGTACCACATGCAAGTCCGAATAACGCAGGTGTACTGATTGGTAACGATGGGTTTCGGCATGACTCCGGGGCAGTCGATGCCGTCACAAGGCTCCATGAGCTCGGTGATCTTGTGCCCGCATCGGTGATGGATAAAGACCTTGCGGAGACACATCGAACTTGTGAGGACGGGGACCTCGGAACAGCTCGTGTCTGTTGTCACGGATGGAAACGTTGGCAGGTTGCTGCAAATGGATGGGAAGAAGCCGACAGGTCTGCTTGGAAATCATCCACGAGATGTGCTGAGGGCGCCTCCTTGTTGGGGGCGGTGAGTGTGTTTAAAGTCTCTGCTTGATACGACGTATCATTTCAGACGATGGAGCACGACAGCGAACAGGATTGCCTCCCACTACTAGAACGACCACACCCTGGTATTCGGGAACAAAGTACGTTACGAGGGAACAAAATCATCGAGTCCCACTTGCTTTTCCTTACGGACGTGAAGGGATGCGTTGGATGAGGGAACAAGGCGGCGGCGGCGGCGTACCAACGCTGGCGTGGATTATGGAGGGCTAATCTATCTCTTCTTTCCTTTGACGACCCATCGGGTTTGCCCTCGAACCAGCTCGGTATTAAGAACATTCTGCTATCGACATGGTAGTTGATGCGGGGGACAAATACGATACATGCAGCTGATCCGCACTGATGGACCCCACGTTTGTGTGACTGACCTTTTACTCATTAATATTCACCTTTTAGTATTCACCTTTTGAGAGTGCTTCTCGCGCCATCGAACGTACTCACTCTGCTGGAACAAGACGGGAAACAGCTTCGTCATCCTGGCCCCGGGTTCCGATTAACGTATTGTACATGTTGGCCAGCGGCCAAGAAGCGACCATGCATTGGTCATGACCGGCGATTTTGGCAGACCGAAAAGAGCTTGCAGCTCAACTTGTGTTACCCTCCCCGTAATCATGCCTCATGTTAGTGCTTGTGTGGATTGTTATCAAAGACAACATCTTGTCGCTTGCTCTGCCAAATCCAAATTGACACTCGTCACTTCGAGACTTCGTGACAAGTTGACACCTGCTAGTGCTTCCAAGGAGCGCTCGTTGATATCACATGGAGAGATACCGTCGTTTCTCGCTCTTTTTACGTCTGTTGCTAGCTCGGGAAGCCATAGCAAGGGGCAAGGTCAAGTCAAGAGATGGTCGTCATGAAGTGTCCAGGAATCCGACGTGTTGCACAAGGTGTACCAGCGATCGGCTGCCCAAAGAATTGCCAGGTGTGCCAGTGCGAGAAGTATGCTGCCTCGCAAGCCCCAAGCCCAGGGGAGCACGCTTGGTCTTCCCATATCTCGACGATACATCGAGTTTGGGGAGGTGTCGGTGTTGGCCAGACCCAGATCAAGCGCAGCCAGTACGACCAAGAATCCGCCCAGACTTGGGTTGACCATGTATGGCCAACACGGGCGTGTAAGGCTGTAAAGCTTGCTCAGGAAAAGACCGAGGCGGGTGACGGCCAGAAGGGGACTGGCATTGTAGAGAACAAGATGACCTGCTCGCAACCATCCGACCATTAGCCTGTGCTGAAAGGCATTGACTGGTGTGCCGGGCGGCGGCATCAACAGCGGCGGCGAGGCCAATGGCTCGTCCTTGACGGACTCGGCGCTAACTTCGGACACTGCGATTTCCGGTGACAATCGGGTGAAGCTATCCTGGCTGCGCGAGCCGACCATGGCATGGCCTTGAGGACGGTGCCGCGGTGAGCTGGAGTCCGAATACCTGTTCATACCTGTCTGCAGGCTCGGGCGGGGGGAGCCGTCTTCCGCAGCCCTACTGGGAATGTTGTAACCTTCCTGCGAGGACGAGAATCGTGACTGCTTCTGAGGATCTGTGACAAGGTCAGTTCGATAGAAAGCGTGATCACTGCGGTATGATGGGGAACACACCTGGAACTGGGGTGCTCGGAGGCACCGGAGAGTCGAGGTTCTGAATGCGGCGGCTGTGGAGACCGATTGACGGACTCGAGCTCCTGCCTCGAGGGACGCCATCCGTAGAGGACTCGGTCTTCATGGCTGCCAAGACTTCATTTGCGCTGGGACGTTGGGAGGGATCCAGCGCGACGAGTTTTTTGAGGAGCTGATACAGTTTCGAGGGGAGATCCGGACGTTCTCTGCGCTCATCCTGGAAGCCCTGCCAGTCCGTGATCTCGGCGCGAAGCTGGTCAATGTCTTCCAGTTCCTCGTTGATAGTATTGGCACTGCGGTACGGAAGGCGACCAAAGCACATGAAGTAGAGAATCATGCCCAAAGAGAAGATGTCGGACTTTGTCGTGAAGTTGCCGTAACGTCCGGTCGAGTCTTTTCTCAACACCTCGGGGGCACAGTAGGAAATGGTGCCGGTAGAGCCGGTGGACTTGCGCACCATGTGCTCCGACTGAACCTCGCCGAAATCACTGATGAGGCAGATGATACCGCCGCCCTCGCGGTGCAGCAGACAGTTACTCGGTTTGAGGTCTCGGTGAATGTAGTTGGCGGCATGGAGGTAGGCAAGTCCGGACGTGATGTCTCTGAAGAGGGAGAAGATTTCCTCAAAGGAGAGAAGCCTCTGAGAGGCCATATGATCGCGAGGTAACTCGAGCTGACCCTTGGACTTCCTGCGCATTTGGGCCTTGAGTTGTTCTTTTGTTGTTTCCTTGGGCTGGTCGCCTATGATGTACTGGAGCAGATCCCCGCCATTGCAATACTGCTGGAGGATGAAGGCGCATGCGACGCTGGGGCCGAAGCGTGTCAATATGACGTCCTCCAACCAAACATGACGGTAGGAGACCAAGTTTGGGTGAGAGAGTTTGGCAAGAAGCTCAACCTCGATGAGCACCTTTTCGAGCCACGCATGGTCGTCGCCGACGGGAACGCGCTTACACGCAAAGTGGCCTAGGTAGTGGAGGTCAAGTCAGTCTTTGGAGGAGGGCATTTCCAACGCGCAGTCCAATCTCGGGTGTGGAATAGCATACCGAGATGGCAGCCATCGATCTCGTGGCGTACAAGAAGAACGACGCCTTTGCCGCCGCGACCGAGTTCCTTTTCCTCGACGAAAAAGGTCTTGAAGTAGTTGGGACTAAAGGCTTCGCGGCGAATGCGGCTGCCCTCTTGAACGGCCGGGGTGCTCGAGATGAATTCGACATCCTGAGTCTCTTCTATAACGGCGTGTTGGGGGTTGGGGTGCGGCAGGCTGGGTTGGACAAATCTGCGGATGGGGCTGGATGGGGGATGTTCGGTTCGGGCACTATGATGGCCGGCTCTCAACATGCGGAAGTAATTGGGGTCGACGAAAGAGTCGTGATGTCGGGCGCTGTCGAATTGACGATCGGGGGAGGAAGACCGCAGGGGCTGTCGGCATGTTGGGCATTCGGATAAGCCTCGAATCTCGAGTCGCTGAGAAGACGGATCGCGGACGACGATTGCGTTTCGGTGTCGGCTAGCCAGAGATATCACAGTCAGCAAAAGCCAAGCTACCTAGATAATGAGTGTCTGGACAGACTGACAGGACAATTTCGCGACCCTCACGAGGGTGGTATGGGATCAGCGACATGGCGGTTTGGTCTCAGTTGGGGTGGGGGTCGGAGCCGGTGGAAGCTTTCAAGGCGTTGTCAGACCGGCGAAGTAGTCTGAATCATGGCCGACTGAGCGCAAGAGGAAACGATGCTCGGGTGAGACTCAGAGACGGACGCAGGTCCGGTATTTGAGGGTTGCGTCCGTCCAATGCTGTTTGGTTATTCCGTCGGGGATGCTTGCGGCGCGGCAGGGGGCGATGCGGCTATGGTGGAGGAGATGGAACCGAGGCGCTGGGGGGGACGTTGGAGGTGAGTGAGGCGATGGAAGTGAAGAAGGTGACAAGGTGAGGATTGGCAGCAGGCGGAGAGTTCCAATGTTTGTTGACGATGACCTCAGACTGTCTACCTTACCCCACGTGCCCGGCGTCCAGGGATGTGCACCAGTGACTCGCGTCACGTTAGTGCACCTGGTAAGGTTAAGGTAGGTAGGCAAGGTACGGTGCTTGCAGTGGGCTGCTGTGGGCCACCGGGGAGAGAGCTCCGGTGGTACCGTGAGGGCTTTTGAAATGACACTGTAAAAGGGCTGCATATCACATACAATTCACCGTGCATACCTGCACAGTGCACAGTACATCTCCGTCCCTCGAACCCCCGTCATCAACCGGAGCGATTCCTCCTTTTTATAACAATAAATCATTCATTTATTTACCTTACATTCGGGTCAATTCATACCCAGTTATGAGAACTCGGAACGATGGGACAGGACAGAGGACGCGAACCTCGTATTGCTCAATTTACCCAAGGTACCTAGCCACGATAAGACGTCGAGGATGCCAATCAGCCTTCTGGCCTGTCAGCAAGGCCGCCGCCGACATACTCTTCGAGTGGCCGGCTCTATCTCACAGGACTAGGACCTTGAAATCGAAGGGCGATTCTTGTTCTTATGATTCAAAGACATATCTGGGACAATGACAACGGTCGTATTCATCCATTCCCGAGTCCCCGGAGCCGGCCGGGTATCCTCACCCGCTGCCCTCAACACCCCGCAGAACCTAACATCCGGACGACGTCCCCACCGAGTCGCCTTTGTCTCAGTCCAGGAATCGATTTCTGGCCAAGTGCCGTCCGTTGTGTGAAACCAGAAGTAGAACAGTCTCATCTCATCGCTTCATGTCACCCAGAAGGGATGATTGAGAGGGGGGACAACCGGGTGCGGGTGTGAGCACCCGTCAAGGTCGGGTCCAGTGTCCATCTCATAAGAGAACAACATGCTACGCCCGCCAAGTCAGTGCAATCAGTAGCTTGGACCATATTTGGAACAATGGCATCTCTTCTACGTGGCACCGCTTTCATAACGGGTGCCGCTTCTGGTGAGTTCGCCTCTCTGCCACAAACCCCTCGTCGAGCTTCAAGCTAATGACACCAGGCATCGGCCAGCATACGGCTCTGGCATTTGCCAGGCATGGCATAACCCGCCTTGCTCTCGCCGACATCAATGCTTCGGCTCTCCGGAGTACCACCGACCTTCTCCGCCGCCGCTTTCCCACTGTCGAGCTTCTCCCTCTCGCCGTCAACGTTCAAAATGCTGCAGAGGTGAAGGCGGGTATTTCCCAAATCACGTCAACCTTCGGCCGCCTTGACATCGCCGTCAATAATGCCGGTATTGGAGGCAGCGGACGCCCTACCGATGAGATCGACGAAGCCGAGTTCAGCAGAGTTCTCGACGTCGACCTTCACGGAGTATGGCGTTGCCAGCGAGAGGAAATCATCACCATGCTGAAGCAGGAGTACGATCTGACCACAAAGAAACGTAATAAGTCATGCGTTGACCTTTGCTATTGCAGAAATCTGGGGCCTCGGCGAGGTCGAGGGACCATCATCAACGTTGCCTCAATGTTCGGCCTCATATCACCATCGTCCTCCATGTCTCATACGGCGTACACCGCTGCAAAGCACGGCAAGTCAAATGTGTCTCTTGAGAATCGACATCACTCCGGTGCTAATCAAGAGTAACTTAGGGGTTCTTGGTCTGACCAAAAGCGACGCCTGCACGTATGGTCCCAAAGATATCCGGATAAACGCCATCTGCCCGGGGTGAGTGTCCACCGCGACGGAGCGACATGTGGCTGTTGGCTCGTGGGGCTAATGAGCAGAACAGCTACGTCGAGACGCCCCTCGTCCTCCAAACCATGGCTCAGGATGCCGACTCACCTCTAGCTCGGGACATTGAGAGAACACCCTTCGGACGAATGGCTAAATCAGAGGAAGTTGCGGATTGCATCACCTTTCTTGCCTCGGATATGAGTAGCTTCATGCAAGGCGCCGGCTTGGTGGCCGACGGAGGCTTTACGGTTCAGTAGCTCCTCGCCTGAGTACAGGCCGTCATTGATAAACAGGGAAACTTATATATCTGTATTTGATCTTACAGCACTTGAAGGAATACATTCCCAGCATGACTCGGCCCATCCGCATCACCGCACTTGAAAATCAAAAGCAGACAAAGTCGGACAGTGGTAAGCGCACCTCCGTCCTCTGTGTCATCCTTTGTGCCAGGTGCCCATTAACAACCGAAAAGTAGAAGATTACCCATCAAAAACTGAAAAAGTCGAGCTCGTGGTTCTTGTGAGTCCCGGCAGACTCATTTTCCCCCTTTTCCGGCATCGTGCTTTGGACCAGCCCACTCAAGCTTACTGGGCTCAAGGCGTTTAGACCGCCCTCACTGCCCATCCAATCCATCCCCCCAGAATCAACCGAGTTGAGCGCCTGCGATTTACCGTCCTCATCGCTCTTGCTCTCGGATGACACCTGATTCAGTTGGTCACTCAGAAGTCCACGCGGTACGGCTGAGTTGCCCCCCTTTCCGTCTTCCCCCCTTGCCTTGTCACGCCTAGACGATGTCAAAGAATCCGAACGACCGAGGGCAGATCCGGCGCTTGGCTCAGCCACCCCTAAAGCCCACTCATTGAAGCCTACACCGTCGTACCCAAGACTTCCCTGCTGAGTGGTTTCATCGCTGCCCATTCCAGCCAGTGCCCAACCTTGGTTTTGTGACGCCACGAGCACAAAATCTTCAGAGGGTCTCATTAACCCTTCTGAGGCATCATCAAGATCTTGATCAATCGCAGAACCATTCAGAAAGTCCAAGTTGAACCCTTGAGTATCGCCGTTGCCCATCGAATACATGGCTGGGTCGATTGGGGGATGTTGACCGACCGACCGATGGCTCTGCGATGAACGCCCCCTATTCGACTGCGCCTGCGTCAGAAAGAATGGCGGCGGAGGGCGAGAAAACTCCGAAGCCCTACGGCTGGTGGTCGACGGACGTCGTCTTTTGTGTGACTGGCTACTACCTGCGTCCGCATCACGCCTCGCTGGCAGGATGGAGTAGATCGAGTCCATGTTCCCCCTCCAACCCGAGCTTGACAGGAGACTCTTGTCACTGCCAGTCAAAGTCACAGCCGGCTGACTTTCGCCACTGGAATCATTGATGTCGGCTCGAAGCTGGACCAGAACCGCCTTGAGTAGATCGTCCATCCGGGCTGCTGGTTGGTACGTATGGCTCATGTCGTTGACTGCACTGGAAAGTATCTCAAGATACCCGAGATACGTTCGCCGGTCAGACTCGCTGTGGTTATAAGCCAGCGCTGCTATCAAGGCTATCGCTGCCGTTCCGGCGTGTTGAATTCCAGTCACAAAGATCTTGGTTCCGTTGAACCGTTGGCGATGCTGCCAGAAGATGCGTGCCACCCGTATTGCCTGCTGCGTGCAAATGCTGCGAGATAGCGCTGTCCTACTGTCATCCACCATGGAATGGGGATCATTCATGCCAGGGGAGTTGTTGGAGAATGGTGGTTGATCGAGGACGTCCCTTGGTTCACACGCCGACCCAGGACTCGGCTGAGATCCAGTGCTGTTGCCATCGCCGGCGATGGCGCCGTATCTGGCCCACGGGCGATGGAGTAGTATCATGGAGACGTGGTACTGCTGGTGAAGGAGGAAGTAACTGAAGGGCGCGCTCTTGATGGCTGAAGGTTTCCATTGTAGATGATCTGGCAGGCGTCGATACCAATTCTGGAGTTGGCGGTCGAGGTTTATGGCATGCAAGTACGCGTTGTCCTCGCCTTCATTTGGATTGAAGATATTGTCGCTTCCTTCTCCTCGTTGTTTATTACGGACCTCTCGCGACTCGACAATACGGCCAGCAAGCTCCATGAGTTCTATCAACTGGTCATAGATTTCGGCGGTGATATTCTTTCTGTTTGCGGCCCCAGGCCCTCCCATTAGTGACGTCAGTTGGGAGAATCGTCGTGAAAGCAAGTCCAATCCAATATCCTGGTTTTTGATGCTCGTCGGTCGACCCAGGAATAAAGCCCAGTACTTGTCATATATGACGCAAGCTCTCATCACCATATGGCGGATGTCAACCTCTTGCTCGCTGATGCCGGTATTGCGACAGTCAAGGTGAAGACCGATGTCGAATGCCAGTCGATTCGCCATACCTTCAAGGATGGTAAGCTATCATCGTTTGACAGGCGCATGAATCCGACTTACCAGCATACATCCAACCGGTGTTGTCCCTACCGACACCACACTCAAGGTCACCCAGTAGCAGGAGAGCTTGCACGCTTGGTATGCCGCCAGGACGTTCGAGCTCGATGTCGAGCATGTACTTGGCCTCGCGATGCAAGGTGCTCTCCCGGCTTCCCAAAGCGATTCTCCTCATGTCGTCGCGATCAGAATCTGCAAAGCGAAAAGCCATGGCGAGGATGCAGATGTGAAGGAACGACGAGTAAAACTTTGGGTTTTGGGCCTCTTTGTCGGCGTCGAAGGCATCTCGGTGAATGATCTTGAGGACCGAGTTGTAATGAGTCCAGAAACTTTCCATCAAGTAGTCATGAGTTGAGGAGGTGAGCGAGCGGATGATGCGCTCGGCTCGTCGTACTTGTTCCGGGGGCTCGCGCGTATCGAACTGGTCCGAAGACTCGGCGTAGACGTGCGAGTTCGCAGTCGGGCCGAAGAAGCGCAACCGGCCAGATAGCTGATCAAACGAGAGATTCCCTTTCGTCGAGAGAAGACGGTGAACGATATCCTCTTGTTTCGGATCCAGCATGCGGAAGGGAGATTGCTCCTTCGGCAGCGGTTGAAAGATTTGACTCGATGAGACCGCCGTGTCGGTGTGAGCGCTATCGGCACGATCGCTATCCTGCATTGCGTATTCCTCATTCGCAGAGTCTGGCGGCGATGGAACGTCTCCTTGTGGGGAGTGCGCAGACGGCTCTCGAGGGTTTGTTTGTGAGCAGGCCTGTTTCTTCTCCTCCTCTGACGCCTTGGGTTGGGCCTCGTGTCTCGTCTTTGGGGGATGTGCTGGGGGCGGAGGTTCGACTCCCTTTTCCACCAGCATTCCTTCTAGCAAGGCAATACGATCAGATAGAGAAGACATATACGCTTTCGAGATGGGTCTGGACGCCACATGTTAGGTTCAAGAACACGAAGTCAGCTTACAGGTTCATGTGGTGGCTGTACATACCTCCTCCGTTCGTCATCGTTCTTTATTACACACTCGTTGCCAGCTTTTTTGCATTGAACACATTCGGACTCGCCCTTGGGTACGACACATCTGATTCTCCTGTCACGGCAAGACGCACAGGCAACCGACGCTCTATGTCTAACTTGTTGCTTGTTGGCCTGACGGGATGGTTGCGTGCGATGAGAGACATTCTCCTGTGCTGCGACGCCGGCAGTCTCGTCTGTGGTAGACTTGCTGTCACCCTTTGGGCTTGTCATACTCACGAATCTTACGCTCGCTGGGGGATTTGGTGTCTATTCGCGTATTCAGCCGTCAGGCAATCTCCCGTCTGGCGAGATACTTGTGTAAGTGCTCTTATGATAGCAAACGGACAGGCAATGGCTGGCCTAGGACGGGAAAGAGGAGGATCGAAAAGGTCTGAAAGGTCTCAAAGGGTGTAAAGCTTTGTGAAGATAGGAGAGACGGCTGGCGAGACGGCAGGAGTATCAACAACGTGGATCAAGAAGACGTCCGGGCAACATAAGAAGACTCCAGTCTGGCGCCGTGCCCCCGCTGTGACGACGAACAATGGGGGAACGGTGGGAACGTCACGCATCGCACCCCTCCTCCATGTTTCGCTCCACTTGTTTATTCCAGGAAGGGGATGCCAGCGTGGAAGAGACAGCGGGGAGTCTAGGGACCCCGAGCAAGCTAAGATGGGTTGGTATGGGGGCTGGCGTAGATGCACATGCATAACTAGAGAACGCAATGAGACAGGCTGCTTTCCCAGCTTTGGTCTTGCAACAGACACCTTATGCCTTGGTTCGAGACCGGGACAGTCTATAGGAGGACACGGCGGGGGCTCCGAGTCCCGGGCACTACCCCGAACTCACCATAACATAGTCGGATAGGGGGTGTCTCGCCTGTTGTGTTGGTTCGGTCACATTTCCCCAGAGTGGGGTTTCGAAGGATCAGAAATGCTAGTGTAGTGTAAATAAACCATGCTTGTTACCCCGGATTTGAGTGCTGAGTAGGAGTTGCGTGTTCGTAGTGTAGTGTCACTCTCACTTTGCCCCCATGTGTTGTGGTTGGTCTGGGGATGAGTGGATCACGAGGAAGAATGGATACTGGACCGGCCATACGGGGATATTGGAAGAATGAGGGGTACGCGATACGGACGACAAGAACGGGTTTCGGTAAGGCAAGGTCGTGGTAAGGCGTCGGCTTCAGAATGGATGCATAGTTGGTCTGGAAGCCATCTCGGAATGAAGTTGCTGCACATCGGATGCGGGGAAGTGGCTGCTCGATCCACCGGTTCCTCCAGAATCAGAGCTGTGCAGGCAGATATTGACCTTCATTGTGGTAGGGGCGACGTCAAATGAGACGAGAGGGATTGCCGATAGATGCCCGCGGCATTGAAGTTTTGCCCCGGCTCTTTTCTTCAACCGCGGGGGGGGCACAAACGTCACACGGGTGTGTGGGAGTTGGTTATCGGAACGGACGAGCAGCCTCAATGTAACCAAGTCGCAGTTCGAGTTGTGCTACCACTCTCTGTCTGACCGAGGGCTGTGGTGTGTCTCCATGAGCTGACTGCTGAACACCACTACAGAGGAGGATGTGAGCAGTTGAATTGGAGAGGCAGAAGTTACTTAAGACAGCCCAGTGAGAACATGGTTAAGCCCAACAAACAAAGACTTTGTCCAAAGGCTGAGAATGAGAGACAATATCCCGGCGTAAGGTGGGTTTGACGCAACTCCGTGTTATCTCCCGGTCATTGAATCAGGAGAAAGACGCGACCTCGACCGCCTGACTCGGATACGAGACCCTGGGCTGTTTTCTTTTCACCAATAGAACACCATGTATGTAGTTTTACAAGGGGTGATTCAACCATGATTGGTCTCGGCTCATCACTCTCTTCTCCTCACTTCCCCGCCCATTCGCGTCGCGATTTGTCTCCCGCCCGAGTTCGCAGTGCAGTCGTGGTGGCATTTTGTGATCATCCGTTGTTTTCCCTCTACCACCATCTGTCGACAGTAATCGTACACTCGACAGAGATAAATGAGGCGCTGACTATCTGTAACTGCCTACCTGATGGCATTCCGACGTGCTGCGCACTTATCATCAGTGGCACAGTTCAGTTTTCCGGGTAAGTCGCTCTTGTTTTCTCTCTGTGCGACAGGCCTTCAAGTCTTGCAATGGCAGCCCTTCTTCGTCTCGTTCCTCCACAACCCGGGTATGAGCTGGCCTTCTGCCATTCAAATCAATGCATAGTTATCAGTCACAGCCAGCATGCCCAGTTCACACTCCGTCCGGTCTCGACATGCAACGATCCTCTTTTTAGTTTCTTCGTTTGCTGTCTCTGTCAACATATTGCTTCTGAGTCGATATCTCTCTCTCTTGCCTCGGCCCTCTGCGCCCCACGCAGCTGGAGTCGCTGTCAGTTTGCTGTTTCGGGAACTAAGTGCATATCACAGAGGAGTGCATACTGATCATGCTGCGCATAAATCACAGTGTCTTTGCTCAAGTGAAGCTTTGCAATGGTTTGCACCCCCACACAATCTGTCCACCACTCCTACGTTGCTACGTCAGCTTGCCTCTGCCGCTGCAACTATCAGTCCTCCATATGTCCCCTCTCACTAGCCTGCCTGCCTCCTGTCGAGTAACACCTCGCCGAGACACAAGAGCGATGCAATCCCCGCAACTGGCAACCCGACGGGATACCCTTCGTGTCTTCAGTCGACCGTCCACTCGTGGTCGGCGTCCCGGACGTAGGTGCTCAACCCTTTGACATCCTTGGTCGTGTTTGCTTGGACTTCACCACTACCAAGGAAAGCGAACCGGTTGCCGTACCGGTATCGGATGTCGTAGTCTTCGAAGCGAGGGTCCTTGATGGTCTTGAGGAAGTGGATGGTCTGTAGGGCCACGGACATTAGCATGCTTCGATCAAGCGAGGGAAGTGATGCAGGTCGAGATCATACAGAACCAGGCCACAAATAAATGCGGTTCTTCTTCTTGCCATCCTTGAACCAGCTTCGGCACTCCTCTTGGAAGACGGTTGTGGAGTGGAATTCATCGAAGTGAGCATAGATATCGTCCACAGCCTCCTGCTTCACGTCGATCGATCGGATGTTGTCATGTTGTATCTTCTTCATCATCTTGATTGAGTACTCGATGCATGTCTCGATGGACGGCAGGAGGGTGCCCGATGACCACGTTGCACCTGGGCCCTGGGAGAGGGTTAGTCTAAAGCTGCACGTAATGCTGGTCGTTTGCCACGTACCACGATGGTGTAGTAGTTCGGGAACCGAGGCGCAGAGATTCCAAAGTAGAGATTGACGCTGTCGCCCCAGTCTTCGTCCAGCGTTTGCCCTTTGCCGTTTATCAACTTGAACGCCGGCCGGAAGGCAACCTTAAAGCCAGTGGCGCACACCAGAACGTCCATCTTGTGCGTCTGGCCGTCTTCAGTGACAATGCCTTCTGGCACGACCTTTCTGATCCCGCCAAATATGGGTTTGACATTGGGCTGTGCCAGAGCTTCGAGGTATCCATCGCCGGGTGAGATGCGGCGGCAGCCAGGTGCCCAAGTTGGGATGATGAATTTCTTCAGTTCCTCAGTGCCAGGGCCGTCACCGATGCGCCGGTTCATCTCTTCGGTGATGAGACCTCTCATCATATCAGACATCTGTGAGCCCTGTTGGTACATACCAAACAGCGAGTTGATCTCGGCTTCGATCCGCTTCCGAAACATCAAGTGATGCTCCGGGTCTTCCCGGAACCTCTTGATGTCTTCATCGGTGAACTTGTACTGTCGGTGCCCCGGGTCTCCGTCTTGACGCAGGTCCGACAGAACACCGCCGCCGAATGGAGGAGAGATCCACGTGGAAGAGCGCATGAACACCTGGACTTTGTCGCAAACCTTTTGAAGCGCAGGCACGATCTGAACGGACGTACTGCCTGTTCCTATTACCCCAACGTTCTTGTTGTTGAAATCGACCGAATGATCCCAATTGGCTGAGTGCATCTTGGGACCAGCAAAGTCGTGTAAGCCTTCAACGTCTGGCCATTTCCAGTTGTTCAAAATGCCACTCCCATTGATCAGGACGTGGCACCAGTCTTGCCATGTTCCCTTGGTGATCTGGTCCTCAAGCGTCAGGCTCCAAAGCCCCTTTTCTTCGTCCCAGCGACCTTCGACGACTTTTGTGTTGAGCTTCATGTATTTCCTGGAACCATGTCTGTCGGCAAAACCCTCGAGGTATTCCAGAATCTCCTTCCCGCTAGCGTAGTACTCGGTCCAGTCGGGCTTCGGGTCCCAAGAGAAGGTATACAGATGGGACGGGATGTCACACGCAACTCCGGGGTATCTACGGCAAGTCGTTATCGGTGTATGCGTCCGCGATAAATCGGTGGAGAGACTTACGTATTCTCGAGCCATGTTCCGCCGAGCCTGGAGTTCTTGTCGAAGCTGTCACTAGTTAGTGTGGCGAGACTATTTGCTTGCCCAGATGAACTCACAGAGTCAACTCCCAGGAGCCAGGAGCCAGTTGCTTTTCCATCTTGTAGGCAAGGCACATGCCCGAAACAGCAGCTCCCACGCATGCCACTCTTAGCTTTGTGGGCTTCGAATGGTACTGCTTCAGAACGCGGTAGGGCAAATCAGGTTGAATGGAGGGAGGGTACGAGTAATCGAACTGAGTCCCATTGTCGTACCCGTTGGGGTCATTTACACGACTGCCATTGCTTTCGATGTGGCTGTTGGACCGTGGTTCTGATTGATTGCTGATATGGCCCTCCTCCGCGCCATTCGGCAAGGCAGACGGTGCCATGATTCCTGGTCGAGTTGAGAAAGCACGATGCTCAGGATGACGGCGTTGGAGGGAAGCTAGTGTCGGTGCTGGTTAGAGCAGCGTTGGGAAGACAGAATACTGAATATTAGGGACGAGATTGAGAAACAGAGCTACAGTTTTCAGGTAGATAAGAAGCTCTCATCGAGTCGGCTGGGGTTCGATTGCGAGAGCTGCAACAGCACAGGGTGCCGTCCAGCGGAAGTAGGGTGGATGCCAAGTTCCTTGAGGTTCTACCAAGCCCAACTCAGGACGCGATTGAGTTTCCGGGCAGCTGTTGATCTTCTCAGAGCTCATGTGGACTAACGAAAGCTGGATAACGTCGACCAAACGTGCATGGTGAAGCGGTCAGCGTTCCAATCAAGGCTCGGGATGTGCATTTCCTGCCACTGATCAGCGGCGACTCGGGTACGGTCAATCTACATCCTCAACCCTCGGAGGAGGTCCGACTCCATGGTCGCGGATGAGTATCCCGGTGCCTAATGGGGAAAAGAGCCGGACTCGTTGTTATGGAGTCCGCTGGTACTCGTCAAAACGAAGACTAAGGGGAAAAGCTAGTAAGCCAACCAACCTCAGAGACACTCGACTGTGTTCTGCTTGGTAGATTTCGGGTCATGTTGGGTGGTCTCAAGCGGGCTGGGTAAGATTTTCCGGGGCGCAGGCCGGCCTCTCCATACCACGATACGTACTGAATCGGGGGTAGTGGGTCCAGCTCCGGGGAGCAGGCCCGGGGCATTCTCCACAGGGTCGGCGCAACGTTTTCAGGGAATATTGTGTGCCACGCACCTGCGGGGAACACCTCAATGGTCGATGTGAGGCCTTACAATACTCACCTTGGGCGTGGACGCGTTGATCATACGACTGGCAACCAGCAGCGAAACCTAGCCCTGTCGTAGAAGCCAGGATTTGAGTAGCCAACGCTTACCGGCAGATCGACGTAGTACAGATGAGGGTCTTGAATGAGGGTTCATTGGCTTCCTTGAAGATACATCGGGCTGATTTACCGGCCAGAGTTGGTTGTTTTCGAAGTCATATCTGAGTGAAAGTGACGGACCTCACTGCGATTTGATATACGCCTGGCTAAGACGACACGTTCCGGACAGCACACCATTTAAGAATACCGCCCACCTTCTCCGAGGCCCTGGTTTGGGTCAGAATCCCCAATACTACCCGGTCCCGAAACTTGAGGTCCGAATTTGACTCCAGCACATCTCAAGGTGTTACCCCAATAAGAGCTTTGGCAAGATGAGCGAACGCCACGCTCTCATTTATGGTCCGTCTCGCTCAAAAACAAAGGACTCACGCTGACTGAACGTAGGTGCTAGCGGTATTACGGGATGGTCCATTACAAACGCCATTCTTGGTGGTTATCCGACTGAGAGTACATTCACCTCCGTTACGGCTCTGACGAATCGACCCTTGGCAAAGGAGGCAGCTCAGTGGCCACGCACTGAAACCCCACAACTCCACGTCGCAAGTGGTATTGACATCTTGACCTCAAGAGGCCAGGAAGGCCTGGAGGCGGATCTTAGAGATAAAGTGAAGAACATCAGCCAGATCAGTCATGTCTACTTCTTCGGTATGCATACATCAACCCGCGGTTCTGTCGTTCCTTTGCTGACCAATTAAGCATACATCATGGACACCGACCCGGCAAAAGAATGTCGTATCAACAAGGAACTTCTCAGAAGAGCTATAAGCGCCGTCGAAAACCTCTCCTCGAGCCTCGAATTTGTCGTCCTGCCGACCGGAACCAAAGCCTACGGTGTTCATCTGCTCGATCAGTTTCCCTTTTCACAGGACTTGCCACTTCGTGAGTCCTTGCCGCGGATACCGGAGCCTTTTGCTTCCCAGATGTTCTACTATGACCAGACCGACATGTTGTCGCAAATGGCAAAGGGGAAGAACTGGAGCTGGTGTGAGATCATACCTGACAATATCATCGGTTTCGTCCCTAACAACAACATCTATTGCTTGGCGCAAACCATTGGCACATACCTTTCGTTGTATGCGGAGTTACACGAGAAGGGGGCCGAATGCCCATTTCCAGGCACCGAAAAGTCCTGGAACAACCTGAGCAGCGAGTGTAACCAAGACATTATCGCCAAAGTGTGCATCTATGCGTCTCTTCACCCAGAACAAACATCCGAACAGCGATACAACGTCGCAGACAACTCGCAGCCTTCGTCCTGGAGTAGAAAATGGCCAGTCATCTGCGAGTATTTCGGTCTCGAGGGGACAGGACCTCCTGCACAGGGACAGGCACCTCAACCTGTGCAGTATCTGTCGGAACACTTCGACGAATGGAAAGAGCTGGAAAAGAAACACGGGCTTGTAACCGGTCGTGTCGCCAACAATCGAAGCTTCGAAGGCTTCGCTGGCTTCATCATGTCCATGCTCAACTTTGACCGACATCTCGACGTTTCGAAATGTCATGAGATGTGGGGTCCGAAAAAGGAGGAGATTGATACAAGGCAGTCCTGGTATACGACTCTGGACAGGTTCAAAGAGGCCAGAATCATCCATTAGTCACTGGGGGACTTGCAAGATGCGGATAAACTATCAAGTGGAGAGAGTCGAGGGATCACGAATGGGTATGAGCGACTCCAAGTTTCATACGTACTTTCTTATGCAGCTACCTTGCTGTTGTTGTTAACAATTCGTGGCCATTCTAAGTGAGACTCCATAAGATTGCAAAGCTGAGACTTACATGTCTTTCACCAGAGATCCCGAAAAGATCTGACGGTCTGCACTGATTGCATTCATGTTGCTACCCCGCGTGAACCCCGCACCCATGGCAATATGTTGGAGAACCGCAGGCGACCGAGGTCGAGAAACACCCCGAAACGAGACTGGGGGTTCTGGGTAAGCTGAAGCTGACACTGCAGCGCCTCGGTGAATCATTAGCGACTAAAAATTACTAGGAAAAGAGCGAGGTGGGATGATCTTGCCGAATGTTCTGTACCGCGGTTGAGGGCGCCGAGGGAACATGACTTCCGTCACCAGCTGAACTGAAGTCTACGTCCGTTCAGACAAGCGCCTCGAGCCTCTTTTGACTCACCACTTCTTCGAGTCAATCAATGCCACGCTAGGTTATTCGTACCCAAGTTAGACCCAAGACGTTGAGCATCATGTCACCCAACAACAACCTCATGAACAACCCTGCCTTGCAAGGCCCGGCCTTCGCCCACCTACCCCCATGGGTGAAGGCGAAACTCTCACCATTGGCCGTCGAAAAGATTCAGGCCGTTCATGACTGGGTCGAAGATGAGTGCATTCCAAGGGAGGAGATATTCAAGGCTCAGCTTCAAGGTCGCCGCTGGACGACGCCTCCCTTGATGCACGAATTGCGAGCCAAGGCCAAGGAGCGTGGCCTGTTCAATCTTTTCTTACCAAACCACTTCAAAGAAAGCCCTGGATTGACCAATCTCGAGTACTCTTGCTGCGCAGAGATTATGGGTCGCTGTTACTGGGCCGCTCAGGTATGATTCCTCGCTCGTCAGTTCAATGTTGTTGGTGCTGAAACCTAAGCTGATTTTTGCTAGACCATGAATTGCCACGCTCCCGAGACAGGAAACATCGAACTTTTGGCCAAGTATTGTAATGAAGCCCAAAAGACAAAGTGGCTTCAGCCTCTACTCGACGGCTTGGCTGCCTCTGCATACTCCATGACTGAACCTGATGTCGCCAGCTCGGATGCCACTCAGATCGGCATTCGCATCAAGCGCGACGGCGACTCATACGTCATCAACGGCAGAAAGCTCTACGGGAACTGTCTGTGGAACAAGGAGCTGTCTTTTTACATCTTGATGGGCTGCACCGACCCTGACAACTCCGATAAGTGGTCTCGGCATTCCATGATCATCGTTCCTTGCGACACTCCGGGCATCTCCCAGGTTCGAAACCTCACTATCATGGGATATGACCACGCACCGGAGGGTCACGGAGAATACTTGTACGAAAACGTCCGCGTGCCAGCAGAAAACATCATCCTGGGAGAAGGACGCGCTTTCGAGATCGCTCAGGGCCGTCTTGGACCAGGTCGCATCCATCATTGCATGCGACTCATCGGGCAGTGTGAGCGTGCCTACGAGCTAGCTCTCATTCGTTGCAACGACGCTCGAAAGAAGCCACGCGGCAAGCTGATCGGAGAGTTCGACTCCAACATCGAGCGCGTGGCGCAGATGCGCCTCGAACTGGACTCGGCGCGCCTGGTCGTTCTCAACGCCGCCGACACCATGGATCTCTTGGGGAACAAGGCCGGCAAGCGAGCCATCGCCCAAAGCAAAATACTTGTGCCTATCCTAGCCACCAAAATCATTGATGAGTGCATGCAGATGTTCGGCGGCCAAGGCCTCACGCAGCACACCCCCCTTCCCGAAATGTGGACATATGCTCGGTTTGTGCGGGTGGCGGACGGGCCAGACGCGGCGCATAGGCATCAAGTCGGACGAGAAGAGATGAAGAAGGCGGTGGATATTATTAAGAGACACCAGGTCTATCAGGAAAGATACAAAACGTTTGCAAAGCAGCATGGGGAGATGTATGTATCTTACGACTAGGCCTGCTCGAAGAGCTCTCGCATTCTGTTCTGCGTCACAGGGGAAAGAGTTGAACTGCAATGGAGCAACGAGAGAACAACGTGTGCATAATCCCTACAGAATAAAGTTGTTGCTACTTGAAGGCAATACCTTGCCTCTTGGTTACTTTTCCTCGCTCCATATCATCAACCATGGCAGCTAAGTCGTCCAGACTATCCCGTATCTCTACTACGGGCATGATTCCGTGTTCAGCTGTAAACTCGACAGCCTTGTGCATCCGCTGAGGAGTGCTAGTACTGTCGGCCTTGATCTTGTATCTTCCCAGTAGGAGATCCATCCCGTCAATCTTGATGGGGTCTTTAGAAACCCCAATGATCATAAGCGTACCTCCTAACGCCAAGCAGGATGGAGCCGAGGCGAAAGCGGGCGGTGCATTTGTGTAGACGGCGACGGCTTGAACGCCGCCTCCTGTCAGCTTCTTGATGTCTTGTGCCCAGTTGGGATTGGACATTGAGTTATAGACGGCGTCGGCACCTTGCTTTTTGGTCTCCTCGAGATTCGCGTCGGCGACGTCAATGCCAACGACCCTCATCCCCATGGCTTTGGCGTATTGAGTCGCAAGCTGACCTAGTCCTCCGCAGCCAACGACGCCGAACCAGTCGCCCGGTGAAAGCTCGCAGCTGTCGACGGAGTGGAACGCAGTGATCCCCGCGCAGAAGACGGCCGAAGCTGCATCCATGTTCCACTTATTCTCATCGAGAACGACAGCATTGTGGTAGTCCACGAGCGCGTATTCGGCGAAGAAGCCATCGACGACGAAACCTTGAAGGAGTTGCTTGCCCGTCTCGCAGTGGAGGTTGTGTACCTGGCATCCGGGGCATGTGAAGCAACATCCTCTGATGTAGAGAAAGCCAACAGCATCGCCATATTGGAAGCCTTTCCCCTTAGCCGAAGGATGCATCGACACTACATGGCCAACACCTTCATGACCGAGTGTCACAGTCTGCTCGGCCTGGTGGATGGCCAACATGTCGGAATGGCATAAAGACGCCGACCTCATCTTGACGAGAAACTCATTCTCGCCAGGCTCCGGAACTGGAACTTCATTCACAACGACTTTTCGAAGTTTCTGCATGGCGAATTAGCTAGTGGCCAGTGAAAGATCCTATGTGATACTTACGGGATCCCACTGTCCCGCCTTCATGGTCTTGGGAGGTTGCGGTTGGTTGGAGCCCATGGTGGTAAGATGGGCAATTCCTTCAGGTAGGGTTTCCTAGGCAGACAAAACCAGGGCAGCTTCCGAGGCCTTGGACTGATTGAAGACCAGCAGGGGCTGGACGTTCTAGTCTCAGGCGCTCATCTTCATATGCTCGTTCAAGCGCCCGCGCCCACGCCCAGCGAGTACTCGGCCAACGTGTTGTTGCCTCCCATCTCAAACAAGTTGGGCCCAATTGGAAGACGATAACACCCTTTGACCGGAACATCTCAGCCTGATCAACCCGTCGGTCGCTGTCTTTGAGTGCTGACGTTGGAGGCATGGAATTCTGCCGCACATATTGCCAGTGAACCAGCCTCTCTATACCCCCTCCACCATGTCGAAGTCGGGATACACGCCCCTCCATCACAATCACACATGCATGGACTCACCCCACCTTTCCGGAAGCCAATGCGGGGTATCGCTTGATCGACACGGGAGCTTCACGGGCCCCGGACTCTGAGTCAGATAGACAGACCTCTCTCGGTTTCCTGACTCGGCGGGATATCATTAGCCACCTCACGATGCGTGGAGTTATACTCCTCGTAGGTGGTGTTAGACAATTGTTGGTCAATGTTTGTTTGCCTTGTGACGTCTGCCGCGACCTACGTGGAACCGGTAATGCTTGACAAATGCATTGTCGAGCTGCGCCAAGTTCCAACATGCAGCCGGAAGCCATTTGTCTTACGCTGGAAAAGACAAACCCCTCACAGATAATGCAACCGAGGGTTCAGGAAATGAGTGACGGATGAAGCAAATGACACAATACATCTATCAACCAGTTGCGCCGTTGCGCCGTTCAGCGAAACACTCGACTGCATTGCGTCAATACAAGCCTCGAAAGACATCCGGCACCACCAGTGGTTTGCTCTTCAGATATTCCCCTCGTATGTTGCTTCGTTTTGGTGGATGACCGATAGGCGCCTCCAGCTTACTACTGCAATACGCTTTTAGAACATACCTGCATCATGTCTTTTCCCGGGGTTTCTTCAAACAAGGACGCGGCCAATGGCCACAAGTTGGACTTCCCTTGGAACAAGAACAACCTGCCAAAGCAGCAGTTCATCAATAACGAGGTCAGAGAGACGGTTGTCCCATAGCGCATGCATGGCCCCTAACTGAGACGCGGATAGTATGTCGACTCGAAAAACAGCAAGAAGCTAGAGCTTTTCAACCCGAAAGACGAATCGCCCGTCGCCAACGACGTCGCTTTGGGTGGGGAGGAAGACGTCGATGCCGCAGTGGCGGCCGCCGAGGCCGCCTTTCCCAAATGGAAGAAGACGCCACCCAACGAGCGACGTGATATGCTGTTCAGATTCGCCGATTTACTCGAGCAGCATGGAAAGGCACTGGCAGAGCTGAACAGGTTGACGCTCGGTGCCCCCTTTGAGTCTTTCGGGACGTTTGAACTCAACCTCGCCGTTGAGTGCTTCAAGTACTTTGGCGGTTGGACCGACAAGTTCGCGGGAGAGACGTATCCGCAGGAGGATGGGTTCCTGAAGATTGTACGCAACGAACCACTTGGCGTCACTTGTGGCATCATTCCCTGGAACGGACCCATCGGCAACATTGGCATGAAAGCCGGTCCTGCGCTTGCGACTGGAAACTGCTTCATCTTGAAGCCGTCTGAGAAGACGCCATTTGCTGCGCTGGCGCTGGGCACCCTCATCAAGGAGGCCGGATTCCCACCGGGTGTTTTCCAGATTGTGGCGGGAGACGGCAGCACCGGCGCCCTCTTCGCTAGCCACATGAAGGTGCGCAAGGTCAGTTTCACTGGCTCGACGATGACGGGTCGAACCATCATGAAGTTGGCCGCCAATAGCAACCTGAAGCGCGTCACGCTCGAGCTGGGCGGCAAGTCTCCGGCGGTCGTCTTCAAGGACTGCAACATGCAGAATGCCATCACCTGGTGCGCAAACGCCATCACGGCAAACACGGGACAGGTGTGCTTTGCGGCCAGCCGGGTGTACGTCGAGTCAGCCATCTACGACGAGTTCTTGGCCGGCTATAAGAAGGCGATGGAGGACAAGATCAAGGGCGTTGGCGACCCCGACTCGGCAGAGACGACCATCGGGCCGTTGGTGGACAAGGCCCAATTCGAGCGAGTGCGCGGCTTCATCGAGCGAGGCCAGCAAGGGCAGGGAACGTTGTTGATCGGAGGAGGTCGCGTGGGCGAGAAGGTAAGCATCCCGTTGTGAAAGTTGTCGGGATCCAGCTTGAAGCAAGATGTTCTGACCACCAGTGCAGGGCTACTTTGTGCAGCCGACGGTTTTCGAGGGTGGGAAGGAAGATGCCGAGATCAACAAGCAGGAAATCTTCGGGCCGGTCGCAGTGATCCATAAGTTCGATTCGGAGGAAGACATCATTGCCAAAGCAAACGATACTGAGTACGGGCTCATGGCCGGTGTTTTCACCCAGGATATCAACAAGGCCTTGAGGATAGCATCCGAGTTCGAGAGTGGCATGGTTGGCATCAACTGCGTCAGTCTCGCATTCCTGACGGCGCCGTTTGGCGGCAGCAAGCAGAGTGGTCAGGGCCGAGAGAACGCCATCCACTCGCTGCGAGCCTTTACAGAGCCCAAGACGGTCATGGTGAACTTGACGTACTGAGTTGACGATGCATTCGATGATGGCGGCATTTGGAGAGAGGGCAGTTTGATGAGGGAAGGGCGAGGAGGAAGAGATGGAGGAGACGGGGCCACAGGGATGCAGTGAGATAAGGTAGTAAGGTACCTTAGTCCAGTGATAATCAGAAATCAGATACATGCTCACGGATCACAAATGTTAGCGCGTCACGCCGAAAAAGCTGCAGATATCACAGAACGCACTAACGCTTTGTATCGTTGAGCTTGTATTCAAGAATTGAATCTTTATTTATTTTTTCTCTCTCTCTTTTCTTCTCCCTCTCATTAATTCCCGGCTATTGTGACTCCCGCGCTTGTTGGCACTGTCAAACACCTCATTTTGTCAACCTCGACCTGATTGAATCGGCCGAGGCTCAATTGAAGACCAGAACGAGAGATACAACAGTTCGAATTGATCTTATTCCACTCAAAGTCTCGATAACCTCCCAGCAGCCAGCCGCGCGCCTCCGTCGACCGAAATGTCTACGCCGTTTCTGTTTCGCGTCAGCTTTGAGATCACAGGGGCACTCACTGAACCGACCGACCATCAGCACAGGGCTCGAATGATCACTTACACATACTTCCCGGCAGGAGAGCAGAGGAAGACGGCGACACCGGCAATGTCATCGGGCTCACCCAGTCTCCCCAAGGGATTGTCCCTGCTCAACTCCTCAACACCGCCCAGATTGCTGATGAGGCCTTGGGCCAACTTTGAAGGGAAGAAGCCCGGCGCGATGATGTTGGACGTAATGTTCCTAGGGCCGAGCTCAACCGCGAAATTGCGCCCCAAGTGCTGTAAGCATCGATTTAGTTACCAGACAGGTCGCATGCAGCGCAGCACAATCACAACTCACGTTCGCAGCCGCCTTGGATGTCGAGTACATGATGGTACCGTGTTCGCCTACGTGCGGCACGTTGGTACCCGCCGTTGAACTGACGATAAGCAGACGAGCCGGGTCTTCTTTCGAAGCTGCCATTTCCAGCAATGGCAGAGACCTATGGCGTTCTTAGCAAACGGACGCGCGACCAAGTCATGACTATCTCTCACGCTTACTTTTGTACCAGCTCGAATACTCCTCTCACGTTTAGATCCAGGATCTTGACCGAGCTGCTGGGGGGAGCATCTTCGAACTTGGATCCCCAAGCCGCTCCAGCATTGCACACCAGAATGTGCAGGCCCTTCTCGCCAACGATCGCCTTGATCTCTCCAATCAGACGAATGATGTCCTGCGAATCAGCGACATTCGCCGCTATTCCGATGGCTTTCCCCCGGCTTCCTCGGAGTTTGTTCAGTTTGTCGACCGCCTGGTCGATGCCTTGGTCACCGCCGCGCTTTCGAGCCGTGATGATGACCTGCGAGCAGCCTGCGAGTAGGAACGCCGTGGCCATGTGCAGGCCGAGGCCACGAGAACCTCCTGTCACCAACGCCGTTTTGCCTTCGAGGGAAAACGCGGAACCGAAGTTTTTGAGGTCAGACATGATGCCACGAGCATAGAATTGAGAGTGGTATGGTAGGGAAACTTGTCGGGCATGTGAACAAGTGTTGTCAGCGAAGAACGCATCAGCTGGGAGGCCTTCAAGTGAGGAGAGCTCTCAAAGCACTTTGCTTCGGCTTGCCGGTTCTTTTCCGTGGTAAAATTGTCGGTCGCGCCGGTTTCATCGGTCGGGACGGGCAACTCGCAGCGGGAACTCGGGGTAGCTACCCCAGATTCCCCAACTCCTCTACCCCGCAGCGGCCCCCTACCGAGACGATCCGAGGGAAGAGACGGCCAAATGGTATCTATCGTTTCGCTCGCGGTGGCGGCTCTCTAATGTCTTGACTTATGTATATTTCTTCTCATCAAGCAGATGACTACTGTTTTACACATTCGAAAGCCAAAGTCTTCTCAGTCACCATCAACTCGCAGTCACCGCATCATACTCTGTTGCTCACTTCTCCCCTCGTCGATCCGTCTACTGTCGAGTTTGCGAACACACCAACATGGTGATAACATCTCCTTATCCGTCACTGGACATACCCAGGACAAACCTGCTCTCGTACTTGTTTCCCAGAGATGAGACGCTTTCAGAGGAGCCCCTTTGGATCGACTGCAAAGATGAGGGAGTCAGCTTGTCACCTAGGCAAATGGCACAATGGGTGAAGCGGCTGTCTTTTGGCCTTCACAATCTGGGCCTCCAGCGTGGCGAGGTTGTCATGATTTGCACACCAAACCAGATCTACGTGCCCGCTGCGTATCTTGGCATCGTAGCTGTTGGATGCATATTCAGCGGTGCCAATCCGGCCTACACGGTTCCAGGTAAAGACTTACACGAGAGAACCCCCTGAACCCGAGCTGATGTTCTTCAGAGCTTACTCACCAGATGACCAACACCGCCGCCAAAGTCATACTGGCTCATCCTAACAATCTCGAACAGGTTCTGGAAGCAGCTTCCAAGGCCGGCATCCCCAAAAACCGCATTTTCCAGTTCTCCGATACTGAAAATGGTGCCAGGCATGGCATTCCCGACTGGAGACACATGATCGGAACCCCAGCTGAAGCAGACTCATACCGATGGCCCGAGTTGAGTGCTGAAGAGTCGACCTCTACTGTGGCAACGATCAACTACAGCTCCGGCACGACCGGTCTTCCCAAGGGGGTCTGCGTGTCGCATCACAACCTGATTGCCAATGTGGAGCAGACTATTTTCATGCGATACGCAGATAGACCCTATGCCTTTGAGTCCCGGCCACAAGAGAGATGGATCGGGTTCCTACCCCTTTATCATGCCTACGGTCAGCTCTACACCATTCTCATGGCGATCAAGCTGAAGGTTCCCATATACATTATGAAGGAGTTCCGATACGAAGACTTTCTCTTCGCGATCGGCAAGTACAGAATAACGAGTCTGCAAGTGGCGCCACCAATTCTCGTAATGCTCTCTAAAAGACCCGAAACTGCCCGATACGATCTATCCAGCGTCAAAGAGGTGCTCTGCGGCGCTGCTCCTCTGTCACGAGAGCTTCAAAACGAGTGCCAGCAAAGGTTCAATTTCCAGATCAATCAGGGGTGGGGTATGACAGAAGTCACATGCGGTGCTATCCACATGCCTGGTGGTATCAAGGATGACACAGGCAGTGTCGGCAGGCTTGACCCGAATTGCGACTGCAAACTGGTTGACGATGAGGGCAAGGAGGTGGGTTTTGGTCAGGCTGGGGAACTATGCGTACGCGGCCCAAACATTTGCCTAGGGTACTGGCGGAACGAGGCGGCCACCAAGGAGGCGCTTGATCAGGACGGCTGGCTCAAGACCGGAGACATCGCCATCTGCAACGATGAGGGTTTCTTTTGGATTGTCGATCGCAAGAAGGTGAGTAACACTGTCATTTGCAGCTGTGTGTCTTGATTACGAAACTGACTCGCCGTCCAGGAGCTCATCAAGGTCAACGCGCTACAGGTTGCCCCGGCTGAGCTGGAGGCAGTCCTCCTCGAGAACGAGCACGTGGCAGATGCGGCAGTGGTCGGAATCATCTTGTTAGTCGCAACATGTACTCCCAGACTAACAGCAAAGATACTGATACATTTCAGAGACGGCAATGAGTGGCCCAGAGCGTACGTAGCAATTCAGGACGTAAGCAGGGGGAAGGTCACGCCCGAGGACATACAGGAGTGGATCAAACCGCGAGTTGCGAAGCACAAGTGGCTTGCAGGTGGTGTCGTATTTGTCGGCGAGGTACCGAAGCTTGCGAGCGGCAAAATCCAGAGAAAGACAATGAGGGAGTGGTCGAAGAGGGATGCCGCGGCGCTGGTAGATGCCAAGAGCACAAAGGCAAGACTTTGAAGAGCATGTCTATGTGCAGGGAAGACAGACCAATGTCAGTAGAGTACAATTCAGGTTGGTTGTGTAACCCGAGGTAGAGAGCTTTGCCAATCGTTTTTCACATCTTGAACTCGACACTCGACCACAGTGTGCTGGGGGGGTAAACTTGCAGTGGGTGGGAGACTAGCTTTCCAACGTACCAACCTGCTGATCGGTAGTAGAATCTGGGACTGTACACAGTCATGGCCCAATGGCAATCGTCACGAAGATCGTTACGAACAGATGTCTCTTTTTGGGAAGCTTCTCGTCAACTCATCCTTCAACCAGGACTACGGACCGTTCATAGTACGAAGTACAACGTTCTCAATCAGGGCCCGAAGGAACCCCGTCCGAGCCCATGACTAAAGGGAAGACGTACCAATGGATCAGTATGAAGTTCATTACCACGTCGGATCTGCATCGTTTCTCGATCTTGGCCCGAGCTCCGCCGGTTGATGTTTCCCGGCTCGCTCCCATTCTTTCTGCTCGTCCGTTACCCCAAAGTCTGCCCGCCCCCGCTCGCTCGGCTCCGCACAACCTTGCCATCGTCTTTGACAACACTCTTGCAAAACTGAGGAATCTATGACCGGAAATTAAGACCGGGGATGCTTCCTTGCACCCGAGATCGTCACAGAATACCACGGTTGTGAGCTCAACGCTCCATTCATGTTCCCCGGCATCATCACTACGACCACGCCCTTTGGCAACTGCCGAGGAACGTTTGGTCTATGCCTCTTGGAAGAGCTACCCATGCCTTAGACCTACAGAAATCGGTCTTGCAGCCTCTTCGATAGGTTGTTCGAACCACTGTGGTGGGGAAGAGGCTCGGGAGTCGGAACATCCTTGATTAAGCCTTGGAATCATCATCCGGTTTGCTGGAATCTTGGCCCGGGCGTTGCCATCGTCTCAAACATGACTGAGTTTCGTTCCAAGTCTGGCCATTCCCGAGTCAGAGAGAATTCCCTGCCTGACCGGATTTCTTCCTCTTGGCAAGATCTCCTGACTCGAGATAGCCATCGTTGATGGCATTGCTGGCAGCGGCAATCCATTTTGCTACTCACGCCAATCACACGCCCAAGTAAACCCGCACACCTGCGGCATACTATACACTCGGCAGTCTCCCAGGCCGCTTGGTACCCCCCAGCTCAAGTGGACCATCTCTGTCTGTTTGAGAACGCCGTGTGGATTCTGCCCCATTCCCTCCTCGGCCGCTTGGTGTTGCGCCCACGTAACTGATCTGGCCGAGCAAAATGGGACTCTACCGGATACCACCTCACCGGAGCTCTCTCTCGGAAAAGGTTGTGCAATCGACAGTTGTCAAGTTGGGATATGGGATGCCGAACTTCGCAACTCGTCTACATCATCGCCCTTCTAGCTGGCCCCTTGCCCTTACTTATACCATGTTCCGATCTGCTAGAGTTTTCTCTCGAAATCCTCTGCATCGTGGGTCGCCCTAATACCTATTTGTTTTCTGAGTTTGTATCTCTTGGTCGAGTAGTTCCTCACCAGTCTTATCATGGGAGATCTTTTACTCCCCGAGACGGCGCAGTCCGGAGATCGAGATGCGACCAGGCGATTATCAGCACCCATCCATAGCGAGCGTCATGTCCGGGTGGTTTGCGTGGGCGCCGGCGCCTCTGGGTTGCTGATGGCGTACAAGATGCAGAAGCACTTCAACAACTACTCTCTCGTGTGCTACGAGAAGAACGAAGCAGTCAGCGGGACTTGGTTCGAGAACAGATATCCAGGGTATGGAGACTAAACTAACCTTTTCCCGCCCATGCTGACACTCGATCTCCCCCAGCTGCGCCTGTGACGTCCCATCGCACAACTACACCTGGAGTTTCGAGCCCAAGCTGGAATGGTCGGCAGTTTACCCCCCAGCGCCGGAAATCCGAGAGTATTTCGAGAATTTCGCCAGGAAGTACTCGCTCTTTCAATACATCAAGCTCCAGCACCAGGTAGTTGGCGCATACTGGAATCCAAAGGATGGTGGCTACGACGTCCATGTCAAAGACATCCAAACGGGCAACACCATCGTTGACCATGCCGATATCCTCGTCAACGCCGGCGGAATTCTCAATAATTGGAAGTGGCCAGCCATTCCAGGGCTAGAAAGATACAAGGGCACACTCCTCCACACAGCTAACTGGGACGACACCGTCACCCTCAAAGGCAAGCATGTCGGCCTCATCGGCAACGGATCTTCGGGTATTCAAGTTCTCCCAGCAATTCGCGACAAGTGCAAGAAGGTGACGACCTTTATCCGTGAACCGACGTGGGTGTCTCCTGTCCAGGGACTCGAGCAACACCAATTCAGCGAGGAGGAGAAAAGGGAGTTCCGTGAGAAGCCCGGTGCTCTCAACGAGTATCGAAAAAACGTCGAATCCGGCCTCAACGGCCAGTTCGGCATCTTTCTAAAGAACAACAAGATTAACGAGGATACCCACGCCTACATGCTTCAGCAGATGAAGGAGAAGCTCAACAACCCCTATCTTGAGGATAAGCTCATCCCTGAGTGGAGCGTGGGCTGTCGCCGCCTTACCCCTGGCGTGAACTATCTCGAGTCACTAACCAAGCCCAACGTCGAGGTGGTCTACGGCGAGATCACCGCGGTGACCGAAACAGGTTGTGTCAGTGATGACGGTCGGGAATACCCCGTCGACATCCTCATCTGTGCTACCGGCTTCGACACATCCTTCAAACCGCGCTTCCCCGTCGTCGCACCGTCCGGCGAGAACCTCCAGGACAAGTGGGCCGTCAACCCGGAGTCGTATCTCGGCATGGCGGCGGCCGGCTTCCCCAACTACTTCCACATGCTCGGTCCCAACTGTCCCATCGGCAACGGCCCTGTGCTCTCCGCCATCGAAGCGCAGGCCGATTGGATGCTCAAGGTCATCGACCGATACCAAACCAACAATATTGTCGAGTTCGCGGCCAAGGAAGAGGCGGTCCGAGACTTTGTCGAGTTCAAGGAGTGGTTCATGAACAAAACAGTGTGGGCGGATCCGTGCCGATCTTGGTATAAGCCGCGGGCTGACGGGCCTGTCGTTGCGCTGTGGCCCGGGTCGACGCTGCACTACATTGAAGCCATCAAAAATGTGCGTTTCGACGATCTCGAGGTCAAGTATGCCGGCAACCGCTTCGCTTGGCTCGGCAACGGGTACTCTCAGACGGAGCTCGATGACACTGCCGACTGGGCGTATTACATCAGAGAGAAGGATGACGATCCGCCTCTGACAACCGGCGGGAAGCGGAAATTGTTGACCAAGAGCGGTACCATCAAGGGTAGAAGTCTGGTCTCATTTAGCGGAAAACCCGAAGACGAGCAACAAGAGCCGAGCAAGGAAATGGCTCGCCTTTAGTGAAATAGCAAAGATGCTAAGATGACGGTGGGAACAGTCATACTCCAGTAATGACAAATGGAAAAGCATAACCTTTAGATAGCCTGTAGCAGAATTGCAGCCCGTCTTTTGACCTACAGCCACTACGAGCGAGGTAAATGCGCAATGTGTGCGGAAATGAGTTGAAAAAAAGCAAAAAGACATATAACACCAGGTATTCGCTGGTCGTCACCGACCCAACTACTAATCCGGCCCTCACTGGCTTATCTATGGGAGAGCGGACGGGATCCCGAGTTCTCCAGTGGGTATGGTCGTATGTGTCAGGCATCGTTCTGGAACTGCTTAAGTAGTCCAGACACAACAATCTAGGTTTCTTTGATCTCGCGTTCCCTCAGCCTTCGGCCTCTCGCCAGCTTCAAGTCGAGCTATAGAATGTGAATCAGCGAACACCCCGCCAGTGAATTGCCTGGAAGTGTTGCCAAAGATGATACAAAAAGCCCGGCTGATGAGGGGAGAGAAGCCTGAGCTTCGCCAACTGCCATGGAACCTGCAGTCATCACGAACCTACTTCTCCGTCCGCGTCAACAACTCTGAGAAGCGCAGCGAAGTAGATATGGCGAGTTCAATGTGGTCGTTAGTCTTAGTGTGGACCTTACTTGAAGCTCATGTTGCAGCAGAAGTGAGGAGCACACCGAACACAGGATCCATCGGAGTTGGCGCGACTGTTGGCATCGTGGTGGGAAGCGCCTTACTGGTTGCCCTCGTTGGACTGGCTGTCTTTATGGCACGTAACCATTCATGGTAAGCAGGGTAGCAAAAACTCCCGCCACGAGTGTGAGAGTATATCTGCCCAGAGCCGAGAACTCGAGGGAATGGAAAAGAAAGGCCGGGTCTGTCTGAACGGCACATCTCTCGCAACCGGTGTGCTGCTGGTCGCGAGAAACACAGATGGATGAAGACGCCCGTTTACAAGTAGCAATGAAACAAGGGCGAGGCACGACGACGTCTGGTCGGAGAGGTGAAGTATTTGTGGGTACTCATCAAGTTCATTACAATTAAGTCAGGTTCTAGGCGATGTGGGCTTGCGCGTCTTCCGTGTTTTCCTTTTTGCTTTCGAAATCAGGCATGGCTTTAGGTTGGTTTCCAAGAGCCACTGGAGATACGTTAGATGACAATGGCCAGCTGGACGATGGGATAGCAATACTTACATCTATCAAAGAGGAAATATGAGGTAACGAGAAGGATAGGCATGGCGACCATGGTTGCCGTCCACTTCCTCGCTGCCGTATTGTAGGCCTTGCGATACTCCTTGCTGTTGGGTTTCGGCGTGGGGGAAGCCATAGGGGTCTGAGGAGCGACGGGTCGTGTAGGTGCAATTGTGGCGGAGGTCTTGGGGGCCTCCGGCCCGGGTTTTGTGGTGGACTTTGCGGTTGTTGCGGACGCCGGAGGCGGAGCGGGAGGCGTGGGGGCCTTTGCCAGTGGTGCAGAAACGGGAGTCGCAGCAGCAGTCTTCGTCGAGACGGTCGTCTTCACAGTCGTTGTCTTCTTGGGCACAGCGACGGACGTAGTCGTTGCAGCCTTGGCCGTGGACTTCGCGGCTGCGGCAGCAGTTGTGGCCTTCTTCGCCGGCTTCGTTGCCTTTGCTGTATCTGTGGCGGCTTTGGTGGCAGCGGCAGTTGTCTTGGAGGCAGCGGCAGCAGCAGTCGTATTTGCGGCCTTCTGAGCCGCAGTGGCCGCAGTGGCCGCAGTGCTGACACTCTTCTTGGTCGTTTTTGTATTTTTCTTGGCCGCGGCAACTACAGTGGCTGCTTTCGGGGCGGTAGTGGTCGAAGTCGAGGTCGTGGCCGTAGACGTTGCTGACGTGTTTGCGCGAGTCGCATAGCATCGACGAGCGAACAGCCCCGCGGGACGCAAGGCTGCGGACGGCTTCGCTACTACGGTCCGCCAGGTGGTGCTCGTAAGAGCTCGAGTGAGGGGAATCGAGGCCATGATCGAATGGTGGATGAATCGGCTGCTGGAGGACGTCGAGGTTCGGCAAGCGATGTATCAATCAACAACCGCAGAAGGTGAAGTTCGAAAAAATGGCTCCTGATCGGTTTTTCGCAGAGCAGAAGGAAGAGTCATATCGCCCTTTACGGATGACTGAGCAGGGATGCCGTGCTGGCAATATTGTCTCCGCTGTCAACAGATCAACATATTATGGGCGTCGAATGCGACTTCGGTTTGGGCGATGGCGCGTTCGCGTCGTGACGGTTCATGCGTTGGAAATTATCGTCGCTGCAACACGTGCCAGCTGCCGAAAGCTGCCTTGGTGGACGCTGCGTACTGGCTGACAGTTGGACCCAGGTGGTCTCACGACACACATTTTCGGCCAACAGCTTCCACAGCAAAAGCCTCAATCTCAACACCACTCGGTCTCACAAATACACATCAATTATACACACGCCAAACTTGATTCTTGGAACACGTTCGAATTTTCGTGCTTTTTTCGAGAAGAACGTTCAGTCTATACTACCAGAGGCAGCTTCAATTCGCTCAAGTGAGCCCAAGACGCTCAGCCGCAACTACGTGCGCGCCTGGCATCCAGCAAAACTTCAATTATCCCGAGGTGGCAGAGGTGGCAGAAGATGACATGGTTTCCTGAACCTTCTAGGAGAAGACGTTTCGAGCCTTCATCTCACAGCAATGACGTATCAAGTCTGTTTTTTAGTCGTGGACCTCCGCCGGCTGTCGAGGACGCAGCACACGCCGAAGTCGGTGACCTGTCAAGTCGTCAACATCATCTAGGACCGCCCAGCTACCAAGTGACGGAAAACGACGATTGCTATGGAGAGGCGGTCCCTTGGAGAGCTTTTATACGTCAGAGAGCTGCTGTCGGGAACCGCAACGCCGCAGCCTAAGATGCCAGCCATTACAATGGGCTCCGAAAACCTTACGACTAAAGAACTTCGTGGGCCGATATCTGTCCAACATGTCGTCACGTCGTCTGAACCAGTCCGGTATGCAAATACCCCTACTCGAGAGACGTCCAAGTGGCTCTCAGTGGTTCTGGTATGCTCTTCAGGATGACGGTATCCCCAGGCGATCTCAGGGGATTCGATTTCCAAGATGGCGAGATCTGTTCCCGTGACAAAGTGATCAAGTCTGGAAGTCTTCAATCGACGGAAGTCTCCCCCAGTGGAGAGACTGCATACTGATGATACGCGTTGCGTGAAGCTACTGGCTGGCGCTGGCGAGGGCGGTTCGCTTCCTCGATCGGCCTTTGCATCTTCTACTTGTCCAATACCGAAATTGTGCTTTCGTCGTATCGCAATCGAGCGTTGAGGCAAGATTTTGGCTGCAAGTTCGGTGTGTTATCGCATGCCAGGCGGCCGTGTGAAAAGAAAGAGAGGGAGGCGGATGGAACGAGATCGCGTCAACTCGGTCATCTCGCAACGCGCTGCAGATGGGATTTAGAAGAAGAGTTGCAGTGCCGATCGAGCTGGATGCATGCGATTGAGCTGAGAATGAGGCCACTCGAAGTCGATGGCAACTCGCTTCAGCGCTTGCGTTATTATCCAGGACTCGATGGGGCATGGCAAACCCCATGTTTGCGTTGCTTGCTTCACGGTGCCGACCGCAGAGTTGTAGTGGACGCCGAGCATGACGGCGGTGGAGGGAAAAAGAATTGGGGATCAAGGGAAACCCCGCTTGCATGCGTGAGACATTGTTCGCTCAAGTAATTGATCATGGCCTGATCATCTGCAGATTGAGGTAGCAACCAAATGCAAGTATCCATGCCCACGATCCGTTGCTGAAACTCCGGGCCCTCAGGGCGGTAAAGGTGTGGCCAAGACAACTTTGTAGGGTTTTTACGAACAGTTTGGTTCCGCGGGCATGCTGTACGAGGTTGTACTTGTTTTGCTTTGTTTCTTTCGTTACTGTTTCGTCTATGAGATATCTAATGCATCCTCTATATCTCTAGGGCCCGACATGGTATCAATACCTCTCGTTCGTCATCCTCCGCCCATAGCTATCCAGAAACTGCTTGATGAGGGCGTCGCATCTCTGTCTCCCCGCACACACCAAGTGAACGTCATTACTTAGTGTTGTTGAAGCGCTCAATTCCGTTCTTGATACGCCTGTCGATGCCCTTGGCCATCCTCTCGAGGGGTAGCCTGTCATCGATACGCTTCACCATGCGGGAGACCGGGGGCTCGACACGCTTGATGCCCCTCTCTGCGGCTGGGGTGAAGTAGGAAACGTTGCGCTCCCAGCGTGGCGCCCATTTTGTCGTCTGCATGGCGAGACGCTGCTCAGCACCGGGTAGCATGAGGTAGATGGGCAAGAAAGCGCCGACAGTAGCAACGCCGTAGCAGAGAGTCTCTGTAGACCTGGCGGCGGGGATACGAGGGGCCATGATGATGTCTAGCCAAGAGACGATGATTAGTGACAAGTCAAGAAGAGCTGCCATGCGCAGCTTGCGATGTGACGATTGTAGGTCATGCCGATGGAGGGGACGGCAAAGGGTGGGGGGGAAAGGTTGGACGACAAAGAGCCAAGTAATTCGTACCTTTTCGTGAAACGTTTGGCAGAAGGAATCGATGGTAAGCGTGCCAAAGTAGGATGGGAGCGATGAATCAAGTTGATTGAGGTAGTCGAGTTGCGGACTCTCTTTTTTGATGGCTGGATCGCTTGGGTGACTTCTGGGTAAAGGACGCTGTGATTTGATGTGTTGAGAGAAGAGTACCCACGGTCTATTCCGGACGTGTACAGGAGCAGACGGCGCCGTCTTAAAGGGATCTCAGGATCAGGGGCAGCGCCTCGACATCCATCCATCTTGAGCGTGCGGGGTAAGACAGATCATCACGCGGACCGGCCAGCCATACGTCGCAGCCCAAAGCCAGGCAAGGGGAGAGGGATCAAGGTGGGAGGCAAAGCGAGGCAGAAACACGGGCGACAGACCCCAATTTGCTTCTGTTTGCCCGCCTCTCCTGGCGTCTTATGCAGCGAGGTAGGCCAAACGCCTGGTGCAACGCTACGAACTGTAGGATGGGCAGATCAGTGACGCAAGCATGGCATGGTTGGAAAAGTGTTCAGCAGCGTTAATCGGCTTGCCTTTGACGGCAGTGGTTCGAAAAACATGCCATCCCTAGACCGTCAAGTCTGATCATGTTGGCAGACCCTCGATCGAGTCCGAGTCAAGCTGTTCTCGTTGACAGCAGGAGCGAAGAACTGACTGGTTTGTTTTGATGAAAGGGATGGAACCCTGAACTTCAGCGCGTGCTGATAGAGTTGTGAGTTATGCAGACACTTGAGCATGAGGCCACCCCGCACGAACCGTCAGGGTTATGCCATGTTTACCAGCCGGCAAGCACAGCACACATCGGCACAAGACACCCGTGGATAAGGCAAAACGACGACTCAGCAGACGCTGCAAACGGTGTTTAGCAACAACAAACCTGGAGACGTGTCGGTGAGATGTGCTACGGTGAGCTGCCTGCCACCGGTCAACGCCCAGGGCAGGCGGGGCAGACGGGGCAGACGGGAGACACTGCCCTGGACACGGCGACTGTGTGGCGATTGGCGGACTGGTGATGGGGGGCCCGCCCTGAACCCACTTCCCCAGACGCTGTAATTCCGGGGAAAACAGCGCTAGCCGTCCGAGGCGCACAGGGCCCCCGGCGCGCCCCCCAGTGGTCCCGATACCCGCGCCCGCATCGCACAGCCGGGAAGGGTCCACTAAAGCCAAACCCGCCTCCTTAGGTGGTAGGTAGGTACCTACGGACGGATACACCTATCTCAACAGGAACCAAGCATCAATCGCTGTGAGAGTATATCCGTACGATAGGTAAGGTAGGTAAGGTAGGTACTCCAACATCACGGCAGAAATTCGACGTGCTTTCTACCAGTTCGGACCGGTCATCTTCTATTGTTCGAAAGAAGTATTGACGAGAAAATGACTAGGTCCACGGGGTTGGCGAACAAGACAGCCACGCTGAACCAGAATGCTTAACCGCCAAAACACCACTGGCCGAAAGTAAGGAGGGTAGGTACGAATAGACAAGTAACCAACCAACCTAACTCGTGGAAATGTAATCCGGGTTTAGCCCGGGTATGCTTTACTATATAGATACTCATTATAAAACCCACTGTTTATCCTGATTAGTCATGCCCCAAGCGACATGATGCCATATAACGATTTAGCCCGGGTTTGCGGCGGTATTCGTACATCCGGAAACGTAGCTCCACGTCTGTTGGATCGTCCCAGATGGGGTCAAGCGGCACGGCCGGAACCCCCGCCCTCCTTCAGCTAGGCTTACGCTTACCACCAAAAAAGACTTGGGTCACGATTCGGAATGCCTTGAACACGTGACGTGACCTCCAACTTGATCGGACTCATCAATCCAGATGTGACACCATCACCATCACCATCACCAGATCGCGATACATAGCAAAGTGACTTCCATCAGGTGTCTTTTGTTCCCGCTCCGCCTCCTACGACCTTCTTCGAGATACAATCCATTCGAATTCACTGAGGATACATCTCTCTCCACCCAGTAACTGCCCGCGAGAGGCACGCCATCTAGTTGACCGAAGGCAAACAGATTGAGCCTCCAATCCTCAGCTTATCACAGTTAAGCCCGTCGTTTGCTTTGACCAGATCCTCCACGCTCATTTTGTGCTCCTCTGCGATGGCCCAGCATGTATCGCCCTTGTGAATCTTGTACGGCACTGCCTGTTCGTCGCACTGAGCGAGCTCCTCTGTGGGCGTTCGATAGAGCCACCACGTAAGCAACATCAGGAACAGCCCAATGATGAGGAAGAAGTTGAGCAGTGGCTGCCACCCTTGTCGCCAATTCCTCCTCTCCTCCTCCCACAGCACACGTCGGGGTGCAGACTCCATCGCAGGCGCCGATGAACCGCCGCCGCCGCCGCTCGAGACTTGCATCAAATGCCCGAATTCGTTGCCCGGAGCGCCCTCCCAATAGCTACCATCCGAGTCGCGGTATGTGTATGTCTGGGTGTCGGCGTCGTACCCTACTCTCTGCATACCCTCGGGTAGCCGTTCGTCGTCCGCATCGTAGCGCGAGAACCGGGACATCGTCGAATCGGTCAGTTGTCTTGAGATCGAAAGTGAAATGTTTTGGGAAGTAAGGTACTGTGGCCGTTGCAACAAAGGAGCGCGTTGTGAGACGAGATTGTAACGGGGCAGATCGCGTGAGACGCAACATCAGTTAGGCCAGGGGCAGTGCTTAGCACTATACCTACGTTATAAGTTAGGCTACCCTCTTCTCGCTACTACCCCCCCCCCCCCCTTTCTTATACGCCTTAGTATTAAAAGAAATAAGATAGTAATAATTATAATAGAATATAAGTAAAATAGATAAATATAAAACTAGGTTATAGTTATAATTTTATATAATATATATAGTCTAGTTATTAAACCTATATATTTTAAAAAGGCTTATATATAAACTAGTTTCTATTAAAGAAAGTAATCTATAGAGTAGAATAGTCCTTAAGTACTCTTAAGTATTCTTATAGAGTACTTAATAAATAGCTAGTATACTATAGTTTCTATAATTTATAAAAGATACTTATAGCTTTAATTTTATTTAATCTTTTTTTAAAACGCTATACTTAAGTTTAGTTAATAAATAGTTTTCTATTTAATAGATTAAATATATTTAACTTATTAATATATTTAACTTATTAATATATATATATATTACTTTTAAGTTAAAACTATAATATATTATAAAGATTTTCTATATTATAGTTAATATAATAGTTTAATAAGAGAACCCTAAAGGTAGGTATAGTAATATAAGCTATAAGAAGGCCTTTAGGTACTATATTATAATTTAAACTATATATTTAACTTACTTTAGGTTTAGCTTAACCTACTAACTAACTAATAGCTATTTAGCTATATAACTTATAGACCCTATATATAAGCTTAAGCTTCTATTTTAGCTATTAGTTTATTACTTTATACTTTAATTTTCCTTATTATAATAATAATAATAATAATAAATTTTTTACTATATATTTAATACTTTAATACTCTTCCTTTAAGCTACTCTTTTTAGCTATTTATTAGATAAGTAGCTTTAAAGCTATTAAGCTAATACCTTACTATATTATTATATTATTATATTATTAATATTAAGCTTTTTAAGATTATTTATAGAAAACTCTTTATTTATTATTATTATTATTACTATTTAATAAAGCTATTATAGTTTTATTATTTATTATTAACTATATTTATAATACTTTAAATAAGCTTAACTTATAGATTTTTAACTACTTTAAGCTTTAGATCTATAGCTATTTAGAGGAAGCCTATAAGATACTTATAAGTAAATAAATTAGCTTTAATTTATATAAATAGCTCTACTTTATTAACTTTTAAATTATTTAATTACTCTAAAAAATATAAAATAAGCTTTAAAAGCTATTTATAATTAAAAATAAATTTTATAAGAGTTTTCTTTTTAGCTAAAGTCTTTAAGTCTTTATATCTAAAGCTTAAACTTTAAATATTATCTTTAATAGCTAAAGCTTTTATATTATTATACTTATTAAGAGGTATACTAAATAATATCTTAAAGGAAGGATTTAAATATAGTAATAAAAAAGAAAGATAAGAAATAAGCCTCTAGCTTAAAATAATAGCTAGCTTTATAGGCCTACTTAATAATATAATAGAGATACTATTTTAGCTAAAGGACCTTAAGGGTATTAAGGGATTTATAATTAGAAAGTTTAATACCTTAGTAGTAAGTTTAAGCTACTATTATTATTTATTAGTAATAAAGCTTATTACTTCCTCCCCCTTTCCTATAGCTCTTATAAATAATATATATACTTAAATACCTTAGCTAAGCTAAATATATTAATATTAATTTAATTATAAATTATATCTATTTATTTTATTAGGAGATAGTATAAACTAAAGTACTACTATTATAATAAATATATTATAGAACTTTATATTAAGAAACCGCTATAAAGCTTATTTAGAGCTAGGCACTAGTTTATCTTTATTTCTAAAAGCTACTCTTTTACTTAAAAGTATATTAAGAGGAAGTATAAAATACTTTAATAAGAATAATATAGATATTAAAGAGGCTAAAGATTATAATAATATATATAAGAGATAATAGCTTATTAATTAAGACCCTTGAAACCTTAAGGAGATTAATTTAGCTAATTTAAATAAATAACTTAAAATAAATACTTCTTAATATATTATATTAATATAAAATAAAATAGCTATTATATTTTATAATAACGCTATATCTTTAAAGTATACTTTAATTAAATATAAATATATTTATAAATAGTATAAACTATTAATAAAATAGAGCTAATAAATTATAAATAGAGGGAAAGAAGAATTAAAAAAAACCCTCTTAAAGATAGTTAAGAAATAATTTTAATATATATTTAGATATAAATAATAATATTAATATACTTTATAGTCTTTATTATAATTTTTCTATTTATTTTATAAAAGTATTAATTAATTTATTTTAAAATATCTTCTTTATAATATTTATACTTAATTAATAAATAGTATTAAGAGAAAGTAATATAAAGTATTTTACTTTATATTTTATAATTATTAAAGCTTATTAAAACTATTTAGAGAGGTTTATAATAGTGTCATAAGTTTTAAACCCTATAGATACTTTTTAATATTATTAAACTATACTATTAAACCCTCTATTAAAATAAAAGAACATTTTATAACTAGAGAAGCCCTTTAGGATAATATAAATTAATATAGCTTATAAAGAGATATATAAGCTAAATATATAATTAACTTAATATATATAGAATTACTAAAAGACTATATTAAAACCTTTACTATTTAAATAGATTTTTATATATAAGTTTAATAAAGATAGCTTTTTAAAATACTATAAGGTATATATATATATGTATCTAAAGAGATCTCTAAGTAGTTAATAACTTATAAAACATATATATAACTATATTAATAGCTTAGTCTTTTTATATATTTATATTTATTATAGCTTAATTTAACTTAAAGGTAGACTAATTTAATATAGTAAATACTTTCTTAAATATAGAGATAGATCTAAATAGAGAACCTATATATTATTATCTTTTAAATAGTTTTAAATAATTTAAAAAGTATATTAAGCTATTAAAATATCTATAAAACTTATAGATTAAAGACCTATAGAATAGTATTTAGAAATCTAAGTAATTTAAGATTAAAAACGCTATAAGATCTTTTTAGTTTATAACTTTTATATTAAAAAGGCTATTAAATACTTTAAATTAAATAAAAGATTATTTCTTTATATCTCTATATTTAAAAAGCTTATTAAATATAATAAAACTACTATTAAAATAGAAATTAAAAAATATTAAGAGAAAATTAATTTAATTCTTTATATAGCTATTATAACTTATTTAAATATTATAATAATAACTTTATATTTATTTAAATTTTTAATAAACTCTTCTCTAAAGTATTTAGTAGCTATTAATGATATTATTTAATATCTATATAGAACTTATTATCTCTCTCTTTAATATAATAATAAGGGGGGTAACTTATAAGCTTAAATACTTCTTATAGCTAGAGATACCTCTTTTATTAATAATAAAGAAATAAAGCGCTCTTTATAAAGATTAATAATCTTTTTATTTAATAGCTTAATTATTTAAAAAATAAAAAAGTAATTTATAGTTACTATTAATATAATTAAAATAAAACTTTTAGCTCTTTTAGAAACTATTTAAAAGATAATAGTTTTAAAGCGCTTTTTTAAAGATCTTATATTAAATATAGGAAATATTTAGAAAATCTATTATAATAATTAATAAACTATAAAATTAATTATAAATAAATTAAAGTATCTTTTAATTTATTTAAAATATATTAATATTTAAAATATATAGCTAAAATAGAAGTATTATAGAGAAGTATTTAAAGTTATTTATATATTAATAAATTTAATACTTATTATTAATAAACTTATAAAGGTTCTCTTTAAAATAAAGTTTAAATATTTTAGAGGACTTCTTAATTTTATAAATATATATAAATTAATTATAAAACAAAATAAAGAAAATTAAATACATTTTAACTTAAAAGTAATATATATTAATATAAATAATACTATATAAATAGGTATAAAAACCCTTAAAAATTCTAAACTATTTATATTAATATTAATATAAAGTTTATTATTCAAAATTAATTATATTATAAAACTATATATTATAAAACTATATTACTCTCTAAAAGAGTAAAAAATATTATAAATAGCTTAATAAGCTTTAGTAAACTTAAAGTATAAAAAGCCTTAATAAGTAGTAAAAAAGAAGTTATATTTAATAGAGAAAAGAGTTTTTAAAGTTAAAGGGGCTGTAGAAGGTATATAAAGAGGCTTAAGAGTACTTATAGAATAAGTTAAATAAGTAAAAGTAATAGAAATATTATTTATATCTTTAAACTTAAAATTATTCTCTAAATTAAAAATAATATATATAGTAATATAAGCTTTAATATAATACTAAAGGTAGTTAATAATAATAATAATTCTTATAGAATAAATAAAATATACCTTTTTAATAATATAATTCTACTTAAAGTTATTAAGCTTATAAAGAATATATTAGAGATACTAAATAGAAGTAATAGCTTTAAAGAGAATAAGCTAATATTAATAATTACTTTAATAGTATTATTAATATTTATAAATATATTTATTTTTATATTTATTATAATCAAAATACTTATTTTTATTCTAAAGGGTAAAAAAGATATAAATAAAATATATTTTAATTTTATTACTAAAAGTTATCTTTTTATTTTTATTAAAATTATTTTGAATATTCTTATTAAAATAAAAGAATAAATTAGAAATATTATTATTATTATTATTAAGAATAAATAAAATATATAAAATATAGAAAATAGAGTATTAAAGAGAAACTACCTTATTAAGGTTTTTAATAAGCTTATTATTTAAATTATTAATAACTTACTATATTTAAAACTAAAAAAAAAAAAAAGGGGTAACCTAAAGGAGTTTATATCTATTTAGAGAA